CCTTCCACTTTCCTTTCATGCGCATTACTTCCATGTCCTTCCATTATCTGTTCATATCCATATCCTTTCATTGTCCCTGCATGCCATGTCCAAATCCTCACAGATAGAATATTCCGAATGCATGACCTTGGTCACCATGGTGGTCACAATTTACATGTGTGAATATTGGAAAAAACAAATATACACTCATACAAAAGCATTTTCTTTCGTGTTCACATTCCTTTCATGCCTTTCATTCTCCTGTCAGTTTCCTGTCAGTTTCCTTTCACTTCCTTCCATGTTCCTTCTATTTCCGTCAATCATATCTTTGTTTTACGTTCACCTTATTTAATTTCCCTCCTTTCCTTTTGTTCATTCATGTCCTTCTGATGTTCCTCTGGTTTCCCTTTCCGTTCGTCTCATTTTCCTTCTCATCTTCCTTTCATGTCCCTTTCATTTTACTCTCTTGTCACTTCAGTTTCCTTCCCTTTTTCCTTCAAGTCATTCCATTTTTCTTGTACGTCCTGTCATTTTTCAAAATCATATCGAATTTCCGTGCATATTCGTTTCAAATTTTGTTCATGGTCCTTGGTTCTTTTCATGATCTTCCTTGCTCGTTTATGCATCGGGGTGCCAATTCATTATGTGATAATGTGCAGCAGTTTTAAAGCGGTCTAACTTTTGTGCATAGGGCCTCATGCTTTAAAATGCACAAAAACAATGAGAACTGGTTCTGCTATAAAATGCGGTTCCAGCAAATTCACGCCGAATTGGCATCCAAGTTCATCCAAATTCGAAGACCTTCAGAAATGCCTCTTTAAAAAGGGGACAGGAAATTCTTTTTAGAAAGAGGTATTTTTGAGTGAAGGTGCTCAAATATTTAATGGTGTTCTTCTTTTATAGCATTCTGTAGCAACAAAATACGGTGGCATTCTTTCGTAGCAATTCCTTAAAATTCCTTAAAAATCCTTTAAATTCCTTAAAAATCAAAAAAACTCATCAAGATTCCTTCAAAATCCTTTAAACTTATTAAAATCCGTAAAAATCTTTCAAATTCCGTCAAATTCCTTTCAGATTCTTGCAAATTCCTTAAACTTACTTCCTTGAAATTCCTTTAAGATTCCTGAAAATTCCTTTAAGATTCCTTAAAATTCATTTAAATTAAAAAAAACAAACTGAAAATTCCTTTAACATCCTTTAGAATCATTCGAAATCCTTGAAAATCTTTCAAATTCCTTCAAATTCCGTCAAATTCCTTTAAAATTCCTTCAGCTTCCTCTAAGATTCCTTCAAAGTCCTTAAAACTCCCTAAATTCCTTGAATTTCCTTGTAATTCCTTTCAAATTCCTTTAAATTTCCTTAACATTCCTTAAAATTCCTTAGGATTCCTTCAAATTCCTTCAAATTCGCAGATCTAAAATGACATGCCCAATAAAATTGATATAAAGAGATCCTCGAAAAGCACTGGTTCCATTCTGCCATAAAATGCTCCAAACACTCAATTTGTTTAAAATTAGAATGGAATTTTAACATGTTAAAAATCATCAGGATTTCCCTGGCCAATAAAATGCTCAGACCAACCCCTTAACAATAAAATGACTAACCTGACTCCAATTTTGAAATTCCAATACATTACGGATCTCGCTTAGACTATGCACAAGTCATCCATTTCTAGTGTGGAAATTGCCACGGGGATGTTTATGTGTTTTTTCAATTCTTTATTTCTTCCGATGTTCTGCTATCTTCCTTTCATTTTACGTTACTTTATTTGTGTTTATTTCATGTCCTTCCACTTTCCTTTCATGCGCGTTACTTCCATGTCCTTCCATTATCTGTTCATATCCATATCCTTTCATTGTCCCTGCATGCCATGTCCAAATCCTCACAGATAGAATATTCGGAATGCATGACCTTGGCCACCATGGTGGTCACAATTTATATGTGTGAATCTTGAAAAAAACACATATACACTCATACAAAAGCATTTTCTTTCGTGTTCACATTCCTTTCATGCCTTTCATTCTCCTGTCAGTTTCCTGCCAGTTTCCTTTCGCTTCCTTCCATGTTCCTTCTATTTCCGTCAATCATATCTTTGTTTTACGTTCACCTTATTTAATTTCCCTCCTTTCCTTTTGTTCTTTCATGTCCTTCTGATGTTCCTCTGGTTTCCCTTTCCGTTCGTCTCATTTTCCTTCTCATCTTCCTTTCATGTCCCTTTCATTTTACTCTCTTGTCACTTCAGTTTCCTTCCCTTTTTCCTTCAAGTCATTCCATTTTTCTTGTATGTCCTGTCATTTTTCAAAATCATATCGAATTTCCGTGCATATTCGTTTCAAATTATGTTCATGGTCCTTGGTTCTTTTCATGATCTTCCTTGCTCGTTTATGCATCGGGGTGCCAATTCATTATGTGATAATGTGCAGCAGTTTTAAAGCGGTCTAGCTTTTGTGCATAGGGCCTCATGCTTTAAAATGCACAAAAACAATGAGAACTGGTTCTGCCATAAAATGTTGTTCCAGCAAATTCACGCCGAATTGGCATCCAAGTTCATCCAAATTCGAAGACCTTCAGAAATGCCTCTTTAAAAAGGGGTCAGGAAATTCTTTTTAGATAGAGGTATTTTAGAGTGAAGGTGCTCAAACATTTAATGGCTTTCTTCTGTTTATAGCATTCTGTAGCAACAAAATACGGTGGCATTCTTTCGTAGCAATTCCTTAAAATTCCTTAAAATTCCTTGAAATTCCTTAAAATTCCTTAAAATTCAAAAAAACTCATGAAAATTCCTTAAAAATCATTTAACATCATTAAAACCCGTAAAAATCTTTCCAATTCCGTCAGATTCCTTTAAGATTCTTTAAAATTCCTTAAGCTTCCTTGAAATTCCCCTAAGATTCCTGAAAATTCCTTAAACTTCCTTGAAATTCCTCTAAGATTCTTGAAAATTCCTTAAACTTCCTTAAAATTCCTTTAAGATTCCAAAAAAATCCTTCAAATCATTCGAAAATCCTTAAAATCATTTGAAATCCTTGAAAATCTTTCAAATTCCTTCAAATTCCGTCAAATTCCTTTAAAATTCCTTCAACTTCCTCTAAGATTCCTTCAAAGTCCTTAAAACTCCCTAAATTCCTTGAATTTCCTTGTAATTCCTTTCAAATTCCTTTAAATTTCCCCAACATTCCTTTAAGATATGGTTGACGGAAACGTTTTGATTTTGTTCTAAAATGACAGGACATAAAAATCAAAGGCACATGAAATGAGCATGAAAGGAAGTGAAAGGTACATGAAAGGAGCATACATACAAGCAAATAGAAAAACATTTGGAACCATAGGCTGGGAACATGAAAGGAAAACAGAAGGACAATGAAAGGAACTGAAAGCAATCATCCTTTTGCTGATGTTACAGTTGCTACGTTGTCAACCTCACTTTACATAGGTATGGTGCAATATTCATGACATATTTGTACCCTCAGTGGAAGCACTTTACATAGGCATTGTGGCTATTTATGGCTGCCTATACCCACTTTTTTGAAGCACTTTACATAGGTACGGCTGGTTGTTTTACCGGGTCCGTGGAATATTCTATCTGTCTATAGCTATCTTAAGTTAAGCAATTTTTTTATTTTTTTTAAAGGTTTGAACTAAACCTATTTTTCCAACTTTTTTTTTTTGGTGTGATTTAGTAATATTCACCTGGTAAAATGCAAGTTTTTGGATGATTTTTACCGGTATCTTTTGAATATTCTATCTGTGAAAGCATTCTATCTGCTAGAAATGCGTTTAGTTCAAGCAAAAAAACATATTTTTTTGAACTAAAATATTCTATCTGGTAGAAATTGACTATAGATTCTGGGTAGATTGTACCTGTCATAATTCATCAACCTGCAATGGTTGGGAAATTCGCCTGGGTAACTGCACCCGAAACTGGGTAAAGTCTCTGGCACAAAAATCATGAATTTGGGCCGTTTGTAATTGTATGTTGCCCAGCAAGATGGCTTCTCAGTACCATGTTTATGGCGTAATCAAGAATACCAAGCTGAAACCCAAAGAGCATTTGGACGAAGTAGTCGATCTGCACGGGCGGTCAAGACTCTAGTAAAACAAAACATGAAGCAACTACAAGTAGTAACCAAAGTTAATACCCTCCGCAAGTAAGATAGTCACTTGAGGATTGTCATTCCAAACAATAGTGAAGATGTACATATAGCATTTGAAAACGCAAACCAGCATCTGGATTGGAGGTATTGAAGCCTCCAAATGAAGGGTATTCTGGTTCAGATTCACCAAGCGCTAAGCGCTTTGGCTTTCATACTGTTGAGTTGCCATCCAGATAGAGTAGCTGGTAGTAGCTGGTTTTCGCGGATCTGATCTACCCAGTCAGAAAAATCAAACATATTCATAAATGAGACAAATCACACCTGAGTGGTCTAATAATTTGGGTCAGTCATGATCTTAAAAAAAACACAATGAGCTATCCACACACACAATCACAAATGAAACTCCAAAAATAAGCCGATGTTTGATGGCACCTTGAATTCCAGGTAGCTCATTTCTCATCCACGGCACATTTCTGGATTCACATTAATATTGGTCGGTGAAATGCTTATCCAGCTTGAATCGATAACATGTTGAAGGAAAACAAAGAAAAAGAACCAAACCTGAAAAACAATTACATTTGGCTCCTCTTTTGCATTGCAGCTGGGGTCAGCAACTTGATCATGGAGGTTCCGTTCACCCAAGAAAAAGATACCCGAGTGTCTAAGAATCAGCATTATACTGTATACCAATCCCCAAAAACGTGCCAAAATCATCGAACCACCATCCTGGAAATTTTCTTTTTTTTTTTGGAGGGGAGATTACTATAAGAAGAATTCCCAATTGATTTCCAATTAAATCCCAATTTTCCCTAAACTCTTGGTTTCATCAACAGCCAGTCTCGAGAGCGAACCAATTTCTATAAATGCTGTATTCATACTGTATAATATTTATCTTTTAGAAACAACATGTTCACGAATATCTCTCACGAAAGCCGCCGTGAAAGTTCCCTCTCCTGGAGATACTCTCCATGGTCTCGCAGCAGTTCCTCCAGCTGTTCCAGCCGCAAGCCGCGCATAGAAGCGCTTCGAGGATCCACCAAAGGACGCTGCTGCTGCTGGAAATAGGCCAACTCCTTGGGGACGGCAGCTGAGTACCTGAAAATCATGGAACATCTAGGGGGGAAGCCATGGGAAAACAGCTAAATTCCAACTGGTTTTTGTTCAACATCCTTTTCCGGAAAGAACGAGTCATCATGTTTGGGACACCCAGTTGGGAAGAAAAAACACGGAGATGTTTGAATCGAAATGGTGGGGGGTTGTCATGGGTTTGGTGTTTTTCAAAATGTTTGGGGAAATCCATTCGGAGGCTTTGTTCCGTTGAACATCAGGAGTTGTGACCCGTTGTGACATGGACATGTTCTATTTCCAGTGAAAAGCCATTGGCCCTGAATATTGCATGCTTGTCCCCAGGAAACTGTGCCGCTCAAAACCGGGTATGTATGGGTATGTTTGTTCCCTGAACATGGGGAGTTCTACAACTCAAAAGGGGATGATGGCGCCACACTATTTATATGTCACATGAATCATGAATATATTCAGCATCTATATGACATATATGACTTAAGAGTTGAACAGTTACAGTCGTAGTTCCTTCAATTTTCCTGAAAAGTGGTGACTTTCCTCCAAAATCCCCACTTTCATCCCCATGATTTTCCTTGGCTTCCCTCCAGCGTTGGGCGCTGCCCCGCTGCGCCACCCGGTGCAGGCGCCACTCGGAGCATGGCGCCGAGCTCCGCGCCCAGAGCCAGGCCAAACAGGCCAGGGGCGGTCGGCATCGCGACTGTTCCTGGCGCCGGTCGCGGTGGTGGTGTCTTTTTGCCTTGTTTTTTTGGGGATGAAATATGGTGAATTATGGTGAAACCAACTGATATAACATGATAAATATATTGAAATAGATGTTATAGCTTTCTTAAATAGATGTTATGACAAACGGTGAGAAGATTAAACCATCTTAAATATCATCATAGGTACAGGGATGATCTGATATACCAGTTTTGTTTGAACCGGCAACTTGCTTCTGGGTGTGCCCAAGAAATCAAGAACATGTGGGGCTAAAGCGTATGTGCAAAAGGGAAGGTCAACAGCAACCATCCCAGGGATGGTCAAGGAACAGGCCATACGGACGACAAAAACTTAGAGAAGAAAATCCCTACAGAACATGCAAATGTGAGAAACAAGTGCTTCAAAAACCCTTCTCTTAGATTGGCACAAGTTGACTCAAAACCACATAGTTCAGCAGCATTTCACTGCAACTGATGCTCAAAACATACCCTCATATTCATCGTCATTCCATCCAAATCCAGATAGTTTTTCTAATCTAAACCCAGCTCCACATGTTTTTCAGATCACCCCACATTTTTATACAAACGCGCTTTCACCCACCCAAAGGCCCACTTTCGACCCCAAATCTTTATAAACTCTTGGGCTCATTGTCAATTAACACCTTCCCTACAAATTCTCGGATTTCAGAAGCGTCTAAGTGCCCATCATCATCTAAATGGATCCATCATCTAAAGCTTTGGATTTCCAAACACTGGAACTGGGTACTTCAGGTAATAATAATTTCTTGATTCATGCTCAATTCCACTCCAAATGGGGCTGCTTATTTTTTTAAGGACCCCTAGAGACCATCAAAAACGCACACGGAACCAGTGAACGATCCTTTGGGGTGGGTCCAATGGATAATTCAAACACAAAAACCAGGATATACCAGGATCTCCGATACATGCCCAGTGATACCACTCTGAAATAAGGTGCTCCAAAATTTGGTGAATATCATTTTTTCTACTAGAATCGCCACTTTGTGGGTATACACTATTTTCAGACCAGGGTTGATGGCAAATATACTTAATATATCGCTCCCTGCGAGGGGGCGACACCTTGTACTCCGTCATGTTAGGGGGGATGGCTGACAATATCCATTCTCAAAATCCCAAGGGCAAAAATTGTCAGCCATGATTGACACTGATGATATTAAAAACCAAACATGGCCCGTCAACTAAGTGTTTTTTAAATCAAAGTTTTTGAATGGTTTTCCATTTTTAGGGTTAAACAATTGTTAAAATAAAGCCAATCTTGTTGATGGTTAAATATGGTTTAACCATGTCAAACCACCATTTCTGATGGGATTCCGATGATGAACCATTCCTCAGATCCAACGAATTTTATCAGCCAACCATAGTCACCAGATATAGTTACAACTACTTACAACTAACCCCCCAACCGTTGGTTGTTCACCACAATTTCCCATGGTTTTCCCATGGTTTTCTCACGTTTTTTCCACGTTTTTTCCACGTTTTTCCAAGACTCCACCAGTTCCATCAGCACCTCGCGCAACTCCGCGCTTCGCGCCACGCGCAGCGCCGCCAGCAGCGCCTCCAGCTCGGCGAAACGCAGCGAGGGCAGGGTCCAGGTGCCCGTGCCCTTAAAGCGCTCGGCCTGGAGAATGGATGAGATTTCATAGGATTTTTCAAATTTCTTTGAAATTTTCATGGGAATTTGATAGGGTTTCGATGGGATTTTGAGGTTTTGATGGGATTTTGAGGTTTCCTATGGGATTTTGATGCAATTTAGTGGGGTATTTCGTGGTATTTCGTGGGGTATTTCCAACTGATTCGGTATAATGGTGATTCATGGGACGTGTCTACCATGAAATATAGGCGTTTCCTAGCCAAACAAAACGGACAACATCTGGGAAATGCGTCTTGAAACATACAAAACAATGGAGAAAACATATGACCTATGGAAAAACTCTTCCCTGCATGGGATGATTCTTGAGATTTTCTATTTCTTTGGACATGTAGTATAAAAATGTATTAAAAATGTATTATATACATCAAGCATGGAAAATATGGATACATCATATTTTTGAAGGGTCCATCGTTGGAAACTATGGTCACCCAGCCTCCCACCAGACTTGCGGAGCTTAAGAATTTGAAGCATTGGTTTCTTCAGAACTTACGCATGAAGAATTCTCACTCCGGTGATTTGACATACCTATGGAAAATCATCATTTTAAGTTCCAATAGGTATCGCTATTTTCCGAACTCTCATTAGCTATATTAAATTACCGAAGGGTAGATTACAGAAACATCGGTCGAAAAATCGAAAACCCAAACCTGCTGGCCTTGTTCAGAAGGCGCCACGCACCCAGGGCAAAACCCAGATCCACATCTCTCAAGGACCGTCTGAAGAGGGTCACCTCGTAGCAGCTGTGGAAGAGATACTTTTGGCGATCAAAAAAATGGACGGGCAAATCGGTCAGAACCGCCTATATTGAAGGGTGGAAGCTATGGTTTCCTCAATGACACATGAAAAACCACTGGCAATCAGCGTCACTGGGCTTACTGAAGGTATGCCCCTTCACTATCAGAAATATTATGTACGGAATCATTAATTAACCGAATTCAAAGAAATTCCCCACTGCGGGGCATGGATAGATATGGTGGGTGAGATTGGATGCTCTAACCAGGTAAGATCCATTGTTCACTGGCTGCATGCATGGTGTACAGTACTCATAACAAGCTTTCAAGACTCTTCACAAAATGACTGATGGCATTTTAGCCACATAAAATGTGAAACAGTAACATGCTGAGACAAAACGATACCCAGGACTTCTTGTGGACGCATCCCAGGAATCAAAAGTCCATCTAAAATAAGCCAGCTGTAGGTCTTCTCCCCAATATTCAGCAGTATATTTACATGTCATTGAAAATGCCCTCTTCTTATCCCTCATAGGAGAGCATAGTAGCCCACAATGGGGATACCTGGTCGGATATCGGATCCGGCTGAGAAGCAACATCGCCGCCGCGCTCATGCGCGGGCAAGGCTGCCAAGATGGGAACCAAAGCCTGGCATTCCATGAAGATCAAACATGATCAAACGTGTTTCAATGTAACCTCTGGAAATCCAACATAGCCATAGAAAACCACCAACTCAAAATAGTGATTTTTCATCTACACATGGGCCATTTCGCAAAGCTATGTTAGGTTAGCAGAGGCTACCAGGGAAACACTTGTGTTCTTCCGGCCCATTAAAAGATAGAAACATCATGCCCGTGGATTTTGATGGTGATCTGTGTGCGATTTTTGGGAAACCCGGTTGCATCCAAACATGAAACCCAGGGAAAAACAAAGGTCAACCTTTCCAAAATTGATTACAACACATAAATCACTTTTTGAGTATACGCTTTTCCTCCGGCACCTGTTTTCCGGACAGCCAAAGGTCAATCCCAGGGCGGAAGCTGAACTGTGGGTGGGACACTGACTGTAAGAAGTCACCCAAAGCCCTGAAAATCAATGGGCAATATTGGCAATACCTACCAAGCCCAAAATATCATTATAGAATCTGTAGTAAGAACCAAAACTGCTGACATGGTGAGTGGCATTGGCAAAATTGTTTCATCATCACTGTTCTCAAGCCTGCCAAGTCAAATACCATAATTTTTCCTTCATATCCGCGTAGGTACTGTAGCCACTCTGTTAAACCCTAACATAGGCTCCGTCTTTTCTCTGTGTATTGCTATCCATTCCCTTCATGCCCAACACAATTTCTGAGGGGGAATTCCAGCCAACTCATTTTTTCTAATATGAACATGGGTAAGTATGGTACCCAAAAAATTGACGGAACAAAATCTCTCTTCATATGAAAATGACCCTTTCACTTGGGGGAATAACATTCCAATACTCTAAACTATGATGTGGTTGGGAAATTCAATTTGTAGCTCCAACTGGCTCCCCATTCTCTATTTGGAATTTGAATGCCCATGGCTCTCTGGCAACCCTAACATAACTATTGAAATCACCATGTTCAAACACCGCAAATCACCGAACTAATTGGGTCATCTATACCATAGCTGTGTTAGTTGGAGGGTACCCTCTGGTAATTTAACATAACTATGGAAAATCACAATTTTTGATGGGTAAATCCACTATAAATGGCCATTTTCAATAGCTATGTTAGTTTACCAGAGGGTAACTCCCAACCACCCGGAAATCCTCCAAAACATCCCATCCTGCGCCCCGCCTCCACTTCAGACCCCTCTTCCTGCGCCGCAGTGGCGAAGCATTTGGCCCAGGCCGCTGCGCTGGCTGCGGGGGCTGCCGCGCCCATGGATCCATCGGAAGTTCTGGACTTCTCCTGGTGGACGGTTCCTTCATGTGTGACATTTTTTGCCAGAAATTGAGGTGAAGTTGGGTGACTTGACCTTTTTTCATGACCTTAGATCCAATTTTCTGCTTCAAGATGGGATTGCCATGGCGAGACAGCAACCTGCCACAACCATGCTCTCGAGCCAGACCTTGTGTATTGCAAGATGGAAAGTTCCCAAACCGCCAAGTTCGATTTCGGTTCTTTGTCTTTGTCTTCTTTGTTGTTGTTGTTGGTGGTGGTGGTGGTGGCCCTCTGGTCGTTTGACGTATCTATGGACAATCACCATTTTAGTTCGGAAAATAATCATAAATCATCTAGAAAAGGGCGGTTTCTGTTACACAACCACAGGGTACATATTATATCATATATTATCATATTGCTCTTTGAGTATGTCAATGTTTGCGGTGTTGCGCTTGTTCACTCAAATTCACCATGTGTTAATCATCATTTATGCCTTTAATGCCTATGAACTACCCTCCAGTAATAAAGTATGGCGATGGACAATCCCACCTTCATAGGTGATTTTCTCAGCTACAAACGTCAGTTTTTCTTTGGTGATTTTCCAGCCATGTTTCATGACCGGAGGGTAGTGGAATCAAAAAGCGGGTCCTGCGTAGTCTCCTACCCATCACTGAACTCTCCTAAGACCAAGTTAAAGGAGATTGGCGTGTTGAACCCAGGCATTGAATCAGTTGGGAAAGCTCAAACAAACATGAGGTTGACGGCATTGGGTTCACCACAGTCTTCTGTATAGCTCTGAGCCCTAGAAGCGAAAGAATCAAAATTCGATGGATCCGTACAAGAGCTTCGCAGGACAATGGGGATCCTGTATAGGGCGTCCAGGAATTGAAACCTTTCACGATCTACAGCAACCATATAGTGCGGAATTGGATCACAAACCATGACCATGCCTGAATCCCCACCTTTCACCTTACCCAAATGTGCGAAATGGCAGGTGACATCCTCGCTTCGCCCACATCCACCATCCATCCCCATCTCCATCCCTTCTTTTTGGTGTCTGGGGGCATTCGTCAGCGCAAGTGGCTTTGCTACTCGCATGTGCTGTGTGAAAGTGTTTTCTGAAGGTCATGACCATCCAAGGTTGTAGGCTCCAAGCCACTGATTGTGTCAACCTCAACATCAAGTTGTTTCTTAGCTTTGACAGCCCCTTGTGGTTTACCATCCCAACTTTCTCTACTAAATGTAGTGCCGTGGCTGAGGGTGTTTGGATCAAAATCCTCCACTCCTGTTTGTATGGCTATGGGGGCCCCCAAGATCTTTAAAACATGCCATGAACATCCAGGAACACATACTTAGCAGGAATTTACGACAGTACCTACCATATCCTACCATGTGGTAAACTTCCCGGTCGAAATCCACAAGGGGCTTCTTCCCCATCTATCATGTGGTTGGGAAACTAGACTTTCCTTGGCTCCCGTTTTTATAGGGAATATGGATGAATATGGATTCCCCCAGTTCCCTAGCTCCCTCCTAACAACCGTGCCAAGGAAACACTTTCGAGCGGGCCAGGGCACCTGTGTATTTTGGGGTGCCAGCCCTGATTCCGAGGTGAGAAGTGCAGCTGCACACAACCATCGATTGAAGTGGAGCTAAAAGTTCAAAGCTCAAAGGAGGTTTGCTGGTTTGTCGACTTTCAACCCATCCCATCCCGCAAAAATATTTAAAAATATCAAGGTCCATACCAAAAAATAGCAAACATTAGCAAGCTCGTTTCTGGCCCTTTCGGATCATCATCTTGCTGTCATGTTTGGAGATGGAACTGATGGCACATAGAAAGAATGGAACTCGCCCGTGGTATCCACGACTTCACGAAGCAGGGATCGGGTGCAGTGCCAAATTTAGACTCAGGGGCCCGGCCTGGGGTATCAGTAATTTGCTTCTGGGGTATACCTAGCTATCCAGTGGTTAGGAGGGAGCTCCATATTCCCAGCCACGGGGAGTCAGTTGGAGCTACTAGGAGTTTCCTAACCACTTGATAGCTAGACTCAGCTGCCAAATGCTCACTGTGCATCAAACTTCCTCGATCTATCAATGTAATTCGGTACATGGTTATGCTAGACATGACACGAAATGCACAGTCAGAGTCTACGCAAAGGTTTTGGTTGTGCACCCGAGCTCCAGTGCGTCCTAACAGTTTCTAAAGGGTCCTGGCAGAGCAACGCGAGTCTGGCGTGGGATGGCAAAAAATGGACAAATGAGCTATGCCATGATGGAAAAGTCAGACACAAGCACCTGAAAATGATAATAACATCACCATTTGAGTATGGATCAAAATCGGGAGCACCAATGGAACCACCAACAGTCTGTCATAGTCTGTCCATGTCGAGTATTTAACCATCGATTTGGGAAGTTGAGAATTTTGACCCATACCGCCCTGTTGGCGCAGCATCTCCTAGTTGTCTTTGGCTTTGGAGTACACTGAGCCAGCCTTAGTGGGAAACACGCCCGGAGTGGACCCAATTGCCCGCACTTCAGGGATCATCCAAGTCAAAAACTTGAAGCATTCAGAACATCATAGCAAATCATGGTTTCAAGGGCAATCTGTGGGTCACAACAAATCAAGAAATGCTCAATGGCCAAAAAAATTGTCAAGAAATTGATGGGCAGATCCCAGGTCGGACTGGACAAGTCGTTAGATCCAATTTTGGTTGGCGAAATCCGAAGTTATCCAAATGTTATTGGGGGTAGAGCTCCTGTTTTTCTGGTAAACATCTGGAAATTGGTTCTGTTCCAACCATCAGGACTAGTTACCTTAAAAATCCATTGTTGACCCGGATTTTATCTCCTTACCTTTTCTGGCGAACCCTCTCATCTTCTGCCGGCTAAATCCAGACTCTCATGATCATAATTTCTTTAGGTAATCCTTTTCAGGTTGAATCCCGGTTTTTGAATGTCACATCAGTCACATCCCTATGTTTTTTCCAGTAAATCAACTGGAAAGTGGTTAAAACATGTTAAAACATGTTAAAACATGTTAAAACATGTTAAAACCATGTCATACACCAGCCATGACTGGGAATGGTTTAGGTTTATACCACCTATAGAAACGGTGAAAAATCCATGGGTCGGAAGCTGAAAAATCCCATGGGCACCCGGACGGCACTGCCCGGGATGGCAGGCGCTGGGGGTGTTGCTTCCAGCCTTAGCATCTATGGTTTCAACATGTGAAAAAAAACATGTTTTAAACATTAAGGTTAACAATCTGTTCTGTTCTGTTCTGTTCTGTCCTGTGCCCTGTGCACTCGCGTAGCAAGTGCGGCGGCACATCTCCCAAAAACCGCTTTCAAGGTGAAACAAGCAAAAACGCGTGGTGAGACAATCTCATCAAAGAGCAGGGATGAGCATAAACAAAATAAATTACACGAAAAGGGGTGAAATGTGGGTATCACGGATTCAAGGCACCCTCGCTTCGGCCAGGTGCATGTGAAACAAAAATGACCTCATCATACCTCATCATCATCACTATCACTGCTTGAAATGATCCACGTGGTATTTCTCATTTGTCGTCGAAGTTTTTTCCGGAACCTTCTTTCAGCTGTTTCCCGTATGATTTGGATCTGGGCAGATCTCATCAAAGTCATCCACCGATCAGGGACTTGCAGGCTGACCAGTCTCTCATGTAAGATTGCTCTGTCTACGCTTGACGTCACAGTGCCAAGATGTTTCCAAAACATTTTTTGCTGCACGCCGGACTTGGATGGAAGGGAAGGAATTGCATCAAATATCATCATGGCATTTTCAGACCCAAAAATTTCACAAAGTCTGTCCAAACACTTTCTCCTAGTAACCTCGCCACGTGCGCAGTCGGTCAGCGAATGGAATTCATCGCCTAAAACATTCCAGAAAACAAGTTTCCAACAGCACTTGTAGAAGCGTTCCTGTCTGGGGATTCGTTCATATCTACCGGTTTCCACTTCCAGTGAGTGAGAAGATAACATCCACCTATATAGAGATTTGCCACCGGTAGACCCTACAGAAACAGCCAGAGGACGAGGGGAATCAAAAGTCGGGATCATTGAAAGCAAAAAATTGTATTTGCCACCCTCCAGAGAAGAACGCAAATTTCTGCAAGCAATATCTTTACATCTGTTTGCTAAAGGTTGTTGCCAGTCTCGCGCCATTGCCGTGTTCCAAGTCAGGATCGCACTTGCACCGCCCATATCTTCCAGAATCCCGATCGTGTCAAAAAAGGAAACCATTTCATGAAACCAACCAGTTCTATGTTCCTCAAACATGTGTTTCCAATGTTCCAAGGTTAACAATCTAAACATGGCTGTTTTGTAAGTTTCACCTGGGGACCCCGAAACCATTTCAAGCTGTTGGCCACACCTACTAAGTATTACACAACATATTCAAAATGAGCAGTTTAACTTGGATGATAACTTGGGCTCAAGCATTTCAGAAAACCCCACCATTTCTGTGGTTTGCTGAAGGGAGCACCAAAAATAACATATGCACTGTAGATTGCCCAAATGGTAAATTTACCAATGGGAAATCTATTCAAATCACTGACGCAGGAAATTTCTAGTTCTTCTTTTTGTGGAGCGGTAGCGGGGAATATTGTCATTACATTACTATATATAATAATTAGGGATACAATATTTTTGAGTATAAAATGATTATATAGTCTTTTAATGGAACAATTAACAACTGTTCAGTCGCACTTGTCAAATGGGTATATATCGTTACTAGTTAACAACCAACATGATCGACGTGGTAAAGCCAATAATAGCCGAATATGACCTATCCAATACTTGGGGCAACCAACCCAAGAAATGGGCGAATTTCCAGACTTAACATATTCCATATCATGCTTCATAAATGGTAAAATATCTGCATTTGGGCCATGTTTGGATTAAATGTTAGTATCAATATGCAGACATGCATGTATGCGATTCAATAGAAAGCGGTCAATAGAGAAACGTGTTATATAAGTTGACTTTCAAGCAGTAAGACTAGAACGCAACTGGCAATTCTGATTGGAGAACTCAAACCATCAAGAAGACACAGACTGGGGATGATTCCGGCTACTACTCAAAGATACTCAAAGCTTACGTTGAAGTTGCACTAATTTGCCCAAATATGACCACGAAGAAGGTAGAGATGTGATCAATGAAAACGCGAATATAAGAGTATGGCCAGGACGGTTGCAAGATCGTGACACATCACTGAACGTTGGATCTTTAGGCCTTTTAGGCACAAGGTGGTGCCCCATAGTTACAGTAGCTTAATTGGTTTATAAGTGGCTTAACTCATCGTTAACTCGGGTTTCATTGTGGTAAACATATCGGACGAATTAGTAGTTACTTAGTGCAAATGGATTATAAAAAATCACTTACATCTGAAAAACACCACCTTGCAGGTAAGGACGCATTTCTTTATACCAAACTCGACCTATTCTGAAATTCTTGCCCGCGCCTTCTCCTTTGGGAGCTTTGAGTGGAACGAGCAGACAGCCTGGGCCCGGTTGGTAACGCTACTGATTTTTTCGACCATAACCTGCTGCTATCCGCAACAAAGGGCAAAGACACACACACACATATCATATATATATATTTATCATACCTACATATATACATAATCCCATCTCTTGTGCTCAATATGGAAATCTAGCTGCACTGGCGATGACCATGATTGATGTTGATGTCGATGTTGCTTTGTTGACGTTGTTGTTGTTGATGATGATGGTGGTGGTAGTGATGATGACGATGATGGTGTTGTTGTAGATGATGATCATGCTGATGGTGATGGTGATGATGATGATGATGGTGGTGGTGGTGATGATGGTTCTGATGATGATAATGGATGTCATGATAATGGTGATGATGATGATGATGACGATGATGACGATGACAATGAGGACGACGACTATGGCTACCTGTAGGCCTACAAGTAGCCAAGACCCACTTGCATGATCACAGAGCTAGCGTTGAATATTCACCTATGTTGACTCGTCACAAATTACCGTCCCATATCATTCTATAAATCGGCATGTTCGAGGCATGGATCAGATTATCACCCCTCCTGCATCTTTTGTTGTACCCTTTGGTACTCTGTGCCATAGCTATCGATCATCCTGATGTTTAAATATGTTTAATAGGTAAATCATCGATAAACGAGCCATTTCATACAGGATGGGGCCCCCCAGTTATAAATTGGTTTATAAACCATTATAATCCCCATTAACTATAGTTATATCTACCATAAACCATTGTTAAGCCACTTATAAACCAACTTAGCATACAGCTTCGCGACCTTTCTGAAGGGTTTCTCTTGCTATCTGCTGCCAAAGAACGCACCGCTCCTGGCGGCTTCATCGGGCAGTCTCCTTGGCTTGGGTTTTGGCGCCAGCAATTGATGATTTTTAAGGTGTTTTTTTGGCATGTGAATGGGGCAAGCATGATTACGTATATATATATAATTAATAATAATAACAATAATAATCATAATATATTTGGAGACTCTATTTAAGACAAACCCTAATGCAATTTTCATCTGGAGAACGCCAATGAACAGTCATGAATCCTTGTAGTTGGGGCAATCTGACCTGGCAATCTGAAATCCACATGAATAATCCTTGGTAGATAGATAGATATATGGATGGATGGATGGATGGATGGATGGATAGATAGATGACCTTCGTTTGGTGTTGTGTGGTTGCCATTGCCAGGTTTGATGACTAAACGACACCACCAAATGAGGAGATGAAGAATTGTGTTCGAAAGCTACAACCCGAGAATCATGGAAGTGGAAAACAGACCTAAATCACAGGAAAACACGAATCCAAGTTTGCAGGAATCTGGGAACAAACTTATACCCACTATATATCCAGTAAATCCATTAATATCCCATTATATCATACACATCACACAAACATCGAGATGATCCATCTGCTACGACTGCCGCATCTCCCATCAAGAGACAGGGTCTGCGAGCCAACAGCCGCAAGCTCACCTGGCGGTCAAAGGCTGTGAAGCATCAGCATGTGGAGTATTTGTTATACAAATGTAGATGTACATTACTGTATATTATATAAAATAATCATAGTATATCATATTTACAGCCGATATCTCATGTCTCTCGGATCATGTTCTTCATCCACAACTACAGCGATGACTTTCCGAGGCCCCGGGCCACCGGTAGGCTTGACCGGGACCGGAACCTGCGCTGCGGCATCACTAGGCGTAGTACTCATAAATTCTTAACCTGGGCCACACATCTTTTCCACAGGCTATTGGAAAACCCTTGCCATTCAGCAGTTTAGTATGGCCATAGCATTAACCAACCATTAACCAACCATTAACCAACCATTAACCACCATTACCCACACAACCATAGCATTATATAGCATTCCATGTCACCTTTCCAATGGCCGTTGGAATGCTATGTCAATTAGGGGCCACTGCGGGAAAGCCACCATCCGCGGTTCTTTTGAGTCTCCTTCGAGCCAATGTTTGGCCAAACAAGGGCCGCAGGGCGGCCAAATTTTCCGAGGGCGATGGGGCAGGGTGGCAGCACATCTACAACCCGGGGCCCCAAGTGCCACAGGTCCCGGGGAGAAGTTCTCACATGGATTAGTTTGGAGATGTGTCGGTTTGAGTGAAACCAGTCAAATACTCACACATATCTTTTTATATACTGCAACACACACACACACACATATATATATATATAAGTATGTAAACAAATAAATAAATATATATATATTTATATATGTATGATTTGTATATGAAGGTCCAACAATTGTTGGTTCCTGCAGCTTGAGTCCTCTGAAAATTGGAGCGTCAGTCACACCAACCATGGTTTCTCCCTTCAATTCTGGCTGGATTTTGGATTGGATTTGGATGGATTGGTTGCATGTTCAAATCAAAGATGGCTTGAAATCCAAAATCAATCGAAATCCCAAACCCATCAAAACTCCATAAACTCCATTCCATGGGTTTTCAAGGATTGAGGCAAGTCCATTTGGCTCTGGTTTGCTCCATCGCAGGTCAAAGATGTTTGCCACCCTGTGTCATCGCCAAATTCCATGTACAACCGCTTCCTCCAAACGAGAGGACGCGCTGCAAAAGGCTGAAGACTCTGCCGAGCCTTTCGCGGGGACAATTGGTGAGGCTGAAAAAACAGGATTGGATGGTTGGTGGTTTCAACCCATTACAAGAGATCAAACCAAAATCAGTCACTGGAGGTCATTAAAATCATCACTGTGGATCATCATCTTCAAATATGGTCCATCAAAAACATGTCCGGAACTGGGATGCTTCCCCACAAAGGTCGAATCTTGCGACAATTCAAGCGTGGAATTGCGCTTTACTTTGAGACACCACCACAAAATACTGACCCTATCTCCATTATTGGATGTATCCTCCTTCTTTTCTGGCTTCATCAAATGTTCACGAAAACGGAGGAGTGTCTTCGGCATTTTAAGGAAAGTGAACTCCATCGTTCGCTTCGACATTTCGGAAGGCAAAAGCAAACGACCATCATCCCATCCCAAATATCAAACATCCCCATTATCCCCAAACGGAGTAAATCCCCTCCATGATGAGTCCTGGGGGGGCGTTTTTCCTATGTTCGCAGGGTACCTGTAGCATTTCTTCAGCCCAGGCAGTGTAAACTGCCCCTCTTTCAGAGTGGCAGCTGTGTTTCGCCACAGTTTCTGTAGCAGTTCCAAACGGGAAAACGTTGGCGTAGAAGATAACGATAACGACACCCCGACACACAATGTGTGGCCTGAAATCAATATAAATCAATGACCTTGATGATTATTAAAATCAAAGCCGAAACAAATTGAAGCCTTGGGGCTATCCATTCCAGTGAAGCTCACTTCTAGGGATGCCAAGACCACGGGTGCTACAGAAAAGATTCATCATTTCTGGCACTCAGAATTCAGAATTGGTGCGTCTTCCGCTGTGAGACGCGGCCCAAACGCTGGTTCCTCAGGAAAGTCATTTTGGGCTCCCTATAGGGCAGGGCAAACTGAGCCCAAGAATGTTTAACCCGATGCTATAAGACAGATTATATCCAATAAAAGTGATACTTGTGGTGACTGTATGTTCCTGTTCACATCTGAATTTTTGTGTTCAAGAACACATGTGCAATATAAAAATACATTGCGTGGGTTTTGAGGATCAAAACCCAAAAGATTCTGGAGAATTCACCAATCTGAAAAAATGGCCCACGTGAAGAATAGTACCCCAATCGAATTCCCATCATTCGAGTGACGTCGCCGTCAGGTCGTCGGTTTTTTTTTTTTCCAAGTATATTATCTCTCTCTCTCTGTGAACTAATGTGTCAATCAGCCAGCACTTCCAGGTATATTATCTTGTTGGGAATTATTGATGATATTTATAGCTACATCCCGTTTACCTGTTATATCCAGTGTATATAACATTTTTTTGAGGATCAACACTCCAAGATGGATTTGAATCTATTGAGTATGCCAACCCCTGAAGCTCAGGGCAAACCATGCTACAGGATCTAGGTTGATCCACTCAAACCATATTTTTCCACTAATTGGTTGCTTCATAGAGGAGTCACCCTCATCAAAATAGACACATAGTTGGCTGATTAATTATTTAATACTATCATATATACGTACATATATAGGATTTGATTGATTGATTCGTAGTTTGTTCATGAAACAACCCAAATAGGAAAAAAACACAACAAATGGCATGCCAGCATGCATCACCCCAAACAAACAACAAATAAATAAATGATGTCACATCAAACCAGCCCGCCTATTTTTTGCGCAAAGGACACTATTTTGAGACTCAAACTATCATGCTTGCTTCTCAGTAGGCCGTAAACCTGGATCCCCATGTAACTATCTTTGGGCTTCAGGGATAGTGACTGATAGTGTTATCCACTCAACTTGTGGTCTGTTTTAACAGGAATCCCCTCCCCCCCCGTTCACGATTAAGGCACTTCCCAGAAACCATGGTAAAAAGTGGGGGATGAAACCATACATTTTGGGACCACCAAAAAAGGGATGTTTGATCCAAGGGACATGTTGGCAAAGTTCATGTCCAGCAAACGGCGCCTGCACGGAGCCCCTCAAAAAACTTTCAAATCCACTGGGCTATAGTCCATGTATATGATACATTATATGGTTATATGAACTATCATATTAATAATTATCAAAAATAACCATAAGTGGATAATTATCCACTTACTGGTCACTTCGGCTATTGTGGCCCTAAACCCATCCCCAAACTCACCCTGTCTGTAGGGGTTCAGGTCCCTAGACACCGGGGGAACTGAGCAAGGCACATAATCAACAGGAAGTCTGGAAAGTCAAACATCTTCGAGCCGCTGTCGCAAATTTCCATCCTTGGGATTCGGATACATGATATATATAATATATATATATATATATATATGATAGTGATAGTATGTAAATTGTTATAAATTGCATATATATATATACATATTATATTATAATATTATATTATATCATAATATTATATCATAATATTATATCATAATATTGTATTATAAAATATTATGGTAATATCATATTATAATATCATATTATAATATTATATTAAATTATATTATTATATTGTATTATATTATTATATCAAATTACAATATCATATTATAATATCATATTATAATCTTATAAAATTAAGAATACATCCGTTACACAATCAAAGTTGATATGACCTGAGATACGTTTCTCCGTTTCAAGAAATCTACTAGGTATCCACTGAAACCAGGATTTTTTCAAATTGAAGAACATCATATGGGCAAAGCTGCTGACATCCGTCACTCAATGGTTGAGCAATGGCTAGGTCCTAGAAACCATGCTAAAAAAACAATCAATTCAGGATGGTGCCCCCTCAGTTATAAGTTGGTTTATAAACCCCATGTACTATAGCTATCTATAGTTGTGTCTACCATAAACCATAGAATTCAGCCACTTGTATCTCAACTGAACGCTATCTTGGGCTCTTTGATTTGCGTTATCTTCCTTGAAACCTGGGTGTCTTGGTATATTGGTGGTATGAAGCCTGCAGATTCCTGGGCCAAGCTTCCACATGGCGGAGATGGCATGGCTGTTCTTATCCTCAATCCGTCAGGGCCGCCCCTGAAGGTCATTCAGAAATTTCACACCGAAATTTCACATGGAACCTTGAAATTTATATATATATATATGAAACAAATACAATATATACAAAATAAATAATATACATAATAATATACTATATATATAATTAGTATTATATATAGAATATTCTGTATATAAATACCAGAATTATCCAAAATTACATATCATCATTGAATCATGATCAAAATATACGTCTTGGACCCTTGGACTTTTTAAGATCCGAATCAAAGAACAGGACATCACCCCGAAGTGGGCCACTGGCTTTCCAGGGGTGGCATCCCCGGCATCCCCCGCCAAGCGTCTCCCATGGGGCACACGGGGCTCATCATCTCCTGGCTGTGTCTAAGCTCGGGCATCCGATGACATCACGAGTTGTTGGTCAGGAAAATCAACTTGGAATCCCTGGGTTGTGCCATCGACAAGCATGGAAACATATGGAAACCAGGTCTTTTGCTGCCGCAATTTCGCGGAATAAAAACGACTTATTCTGATCTTATGACCATAAAAGGTTTCCGGCATCCTTGTCTTGAAGTCAAGCAATGCGTTTTTTCCATGCTGCATGAGAGTTCCTTCACCATCTTCGGTTAAAACAACTCCGCTTTCATCAAATGTCACCGTCAAGTTGAAACATTCTCTGAAGGCCGAAACATAATCCGATGCCTCGCAGGATTCCAAACATCAATCCTGTCCTACCCTCTGGTAATGACTGACATATCTATTGAAAATTGCTATTTATAGTTGATTTATGTTGATTTACCCATAAAAAATGGTGATTTTCCATAGCTATGTTAGTTTACCAGAGGGTACTCCAAACCATCTGTTGATTGGTTGAAAGATGTTAACATTCTAGTGGAACCCGCCACGACTTCCGTATGATACCCCCGAGAAGATAGAACAGGCAATCTGGTTGGTCGTATACCTACCCCTCTGAAAAATGATGGAGTTTGCCAGTTGGGATGATGACATTCCCAATATGATGGGAAAGTCATAAAAGCCATGTTCCAAACCACCAAGCAGTTTTAGGGGATTTTACCAACGTCGATTTTTTTTGGGGTTAATACAACTCAGTTGCTACAAATAAATCGACCAAGCGTTAGTTGCGCCATCCGCTGGACCTTGAAATCTGCCAAGTTCATCCGGGGCTCACCTTTCGTCACTGCCTCGGAGGCGAAGTGAGAATTCCATGGAGCCGCTCGAATGAGTTCAACTTGAGTTACTGTTTTCATAGTAGGCAATAGGCAAAAATGAATAAACATGATACATTTCATGATGGCTCATGATGAAATTTCATGATTTTTAATTCGGCTATGATTTGGTGGTTTGATCATTGATCATCCATGATCCCCTCATTGGGGTTCCATGATTTGATCATCCAATCCATCGGCGAGTCAAATGAGTTGAGCCGAGTTGATCCAGTCGGTTGAGGGAACTTTTGTCGGAAACCCATCGATAACTAGATCGATAGGCAAGTATCTATATGTATACCAACGAATAGTTTCAAAATGAAGATTTAAACCAATTAATCACAATGCTACAAATCTTTCAGCCAGATGATGTAGGAATCAAATCATCAGACATGCAAATGTGTTGAAGAATTGAACATGAGAAATCAACCATCATTTTTGTTTTTATTAATCCATTCAATCCATTTTTATTTGATCAACAAACGTTGGTATTGCGAACAAAAATGATGCAGGAAACAACCCAGAAATCGCGGACAAAAGCATGAGGTGGACTGACTAAAACCTGGCTGTTGAGCCAGAAACTAAACTGTAGATCGTCTGCTATTATCTGGCACAAGGATTTGAAGAAACTTTCCCAGATAAGGAATGGAATAAGTGGAAGAACATTTGAATCAACCATGGAAATAGTGCGGGATAGCTCAAGACTGAAAACACCACCACGGAGCATTGCCCCAAGATAGGAAGGGAAGGGATTACTATGCTCTGAAACCATGTCCATGTTGGACTCATTCTTTTTGACATGGTAGCTACCTTACCTTCACCAGGATGCAAGATATACATCACATAGCTCTAAGAACAAAGGTGCGTTCTTTAATCTCTCCCAAAAAATGCAAGACAGAGATACATCATGATACATGCCATGCATCTTCAGGCTTACCCCATGTCCAATCTTGGAGACTTTCCAAGCGGATAAACGCTCGTTGGGCTCGCTGGGCCCGAGCTAGGCTCTGAGGACGGCGCCAGGAAAATGTTTCTGAACTCACCTGAGATCATCGGTCCCACGACTCGAACATCCGCGATTTCTGGAGTATTTTGCTGGGGAAACCGATGTATGTTCATCTCTATATGTGAGTTTAGTTGGGGGGTAAACCCATTGTCTTTCATATTCTGATGGAAAACGAACCATAGCAATAGATGATATAGATGATTTATCGGTATTAATCAAACAGTGGTATTCCATAGCAAACTGTTAATTTACCAGAGGGTAAATCCACATGTTAGACAATGAATTCCCTATTTTTGATGGTTAACCCCACAGCATTTTTTTGGATTAAGCATCATCAAACATTTACACATTCAATTGTCAAGCCTATAATGGATAAGTAGTGGGTAAGCCATGTGCATAGACATATTGTGTGTATACCTATATGATGTATACTGCATATGCCCACACGCACACACATATATCATATCATATATATATAGTAACATAAAGGTATATTTAGCAACATATCATAATATATATATATATATATTGTGTATAATTTATAGTGTATATATATATATATACCAATAACTTGGATGAAATTTTGCCCCCCACTTTTAGGAACTTCCCCATGTTACTGGTGGATCAACAACGCAACCGCCCCAGTGACTCACTTCGTTGCTGGTGAAGCGTGTCTCATCAATGACCGAACGCTCCTGGATGAAAAAAAAGAGTTGGGACACCCAAACGGAGGGTCCCTGGGAATTTTGAAACAAAGCAAGTCATCATAAGTTATCTACTAGTTAATAATGACTATATGCAGTGATAAATTTTCACGACACTATATATGAGTAATAAGAAGCATCGTTCATAGTTCTTAATAAACTGTTTGGGTTTCCAAAGCCGAAGAATCATGACTACCAGTTGGGATCAGCTAGGGACGATGATCCAACTCTGAGATTTCTTTTTCAAGTACCACAAAAAATCAAACATAGGCCATAGATGGCCATAGCTCAAAAGATATCAAAAAGCCCAAGTCAACACCAACTCATCTTCATCGATTCTCGAATTTAGGGAAGCCCAAAAATCGACAAACACCAAAATTTTTGGGAAAAAATGACTTGGAGACATGGAACATCAACATTATCCAACATCATTATCCAACAAAAACCACACCTATCCGCATTATCCAACACATCTGGACATCTGGAGAGAACTGCCTTCTGAAGTTGAGTCAGTTGTTCCAGATCTTCCACTGTGCGCATCAGCTGCCTGATGCAGAGCCGTGACCGGGTCACCCTTTAAATGGTGGGGTGTAACCCGTGGTTATGGCTTCAGTCATGGTTATTACCCAGCCTACCCCTCTGGTCATTTCACAGTTGCTATTGGAAAATCACTATGTTAAAGAAGGGGTTTGCTATCGGGAAATCAATATATATATATATATATATCTTAAAAAAATTGGTAAATTATCGAACTTGACTGGCAAGTTTCCAGTTCTAGGTTAAATTACAAGAGAGTATGTTGCTACATGCTGTCAGCAGTGCCATTGATACCACTGATCAATCTATGGAACCAACGAGTTGGATGGTCTCACATGTTGGTACCAGTGGGGGTCCGGATGTTTTCTATGGAAAATTACCCATTTATAGATGATTGATCATGATTTGCCTATTAAAAATTGTGATTTCCCATAGCTACAGTATTGTTTTCACATGTTTTCACTCAAATAACAAATACAAATAGACTTTGGCAAGTGTTGTTCCTATGAATTCATGGGTCATGCTAGAAATACACATGGACAATTTACGGGGAGAACCCCCAAAGCTATCCCTTCTTGAAATTGCACATGGTCATTGTTGGGATTTCGATCTGCATTACTGTAGCTGATGCCCACAGATCCATGATAGGACCCAATAAGGACGAAAATGGATCAGCACGGAACAGGAGCAGTCATCCACTAGATCCCCTCTACATTTGTTGCATCGCCACCCTGAACTCTCCAGCAATTTGTGAACAACGGATGTGTTTCCACCAAGTGGAAAACCTAATTTGTCCATCAACAGCGGGGCTAATCAACATGCGAACTAATTCAACATAATTCAACCAACAAGGTGAATGAACATGACAAGAATGGACTAATGCAAATACTCAAAAACTGCAGGAGGTTTTATAGGCTATGGCTTTTTAACTATCGGGGGTCACTGCAAATCTTCCCTGAAACCATTTCTAGGAAGGTAAAGTACTTGGCCAAAAGAGAGAACCAAAATCTCGCCCGAGAGGCAAAAACTCCGAAAAATCCAGCTTGCCGTTGCCTCGGGCTGTGCATGCCACTGGCAAGTGCTTGGCAAATACTTGGCAAAAGGTATGCCATAATATGCCATAGAAATTGACTGTCTGAGATGCTTGATGATGCTTGTGGGTTTGTCTCAACATTTGGGATAGCATCAGTTTATTGCCAGTCTGATTCAACGGTGCCCGGTTCGTTTTGGACAAACCCAATCAGCCGGTGAATGATGAAAACCCGAAGACGTTGAGGGTGCTGCACCGCTGAATGATTACTCTTGTACTTAGAAAGCTCATGGCCAAACGGCTAAACCAACCTGTAAACTTGCCCAAGGACGGTTGAAACTTTGCTTTCCCAACTTCAGGCCTTTGATGGTCTTTGGGGATGTCAAATTTAAATCCAAATCATCCCACATGCCGACTATTAACAATAGCTCTCTTAGATAACATTCGCAGAATCGAGAAAACACACTTTGCTAAACTAGAGTAATTCACAAACCTGACCACAAAAAAACTAAAAATATAATTCTAGGCTAGTTCCCGTACTACCCATTGTTTATATCTTGTGATTCAGGACGTGAGGTCGGGCCCCGTTTTAGCCATGACCAAGTTCCATGGGGCTCAGGGCTCCGGGCTATCAGAATCGGTTTCCCTCATGATCTGCAGCAAAAGCCTTGGGTGCATCGTGGATTTTGTTTGAAGAAAAATTGGAGTGTAACATGGTGTAACAGCGACACGGTGTACACTCCAAAAACAGGTCATGGGGAAACACGTGAGAAATTTCTGGATTTAGATGGATGATTTAGCATGATTTAGCCTATCAGCACGGAAGGCTTATATGCCGTTAGTGGCAAAAGGAACACTCCGAATCCAACACAACTTCAACCTCTTTGTCTGCCATAGCAGCCAGGGCAAACCCACATTCAATATCATTCCCATATATGGCATGTGTTTATATCTGGTTGCTGATTTCAACATGTTTCAACACCAGAAAAACAACCATCAAACCACGGGGGAATCTTCTTTCTAGCCTCCACAATCCATTGGTTGGGGCGCTTTCCTGAAAAAGCGGAGACCTCATTACCCACCTATGGAGAGCTTACTGTTTTGCTCATGGCATTGCCCCACAGGAGCTTCCAATGCTGATTGGTTGGGATGGTCCCATTGAAAATGAGACTAGTCTCGGTTGCATCCAAGAAATTCTTCAGTTCACTTGGATGTCCCGAGCAACCAAGGGGAACATACCGTAATCAGGTGTCAACCGCGCTGTTTCAACTGGCTTAACCCAGCTGTCAGATTACTCACCAGGCTCATTCGCCACTCCTAAACACCAAACACGCATCCAAATGCTCAATGTTCAAGGGACAAATCACAATTTCTTCTTCATCGATCCTCCTCCTCGGAAGATTCCTCCATGTTTTCCCCCAAAAACTGGAGGTTTCCTAAAATGGGGGTAGCCTCAAATCGTCGATTTATGGATCCGGGTAAAATACAATAATTCACAAACCTGAATTAAAGCCATATTGGGATAATTCCCCGAATCCTAACCAGCATTCCTGGGTTCGGTCGCGACGTGAGGTCGTTATACTTTACCCAAATGGATTACAGTCATTTAAATTATTCTACTGCCGGCAGCATAAAAAATTGGGATTTCCGAAATCATGGAGTCATGGGGGCCCCTCATGCATTAAAAGAATGGGATTTTCCATGGGCTTCTCCAAGGATTTTGTTGGCCACAGTTACCCTCTGGTAAACGTTTACATAACTATGGAAAATCACCTTTTTTCATGGGAAAATTCACTATAAATGTCCATTTTCCATAGCTATGTAAACGTTTACCAGAGGGTAGTAACGTCACTACCGAGGCACGGCCGTTTGTCCGGATCAAAGGCCATGTCTGGAAAGACATCCACTATGAGTTGCACCAGCTCCTGTGCCAGCGCCGGCATTGGCACTGGCAACATGCAACAACCACCAGTGCCATCATCATCAACCATCAACCAGTTACAACCAACCACTGTGTCAACATGGTTTACGTCAACATCATCAACCAACCAGCAGAAACAAGACTTAAACAGAAAGACTAAAGACTCCATCGAAGAAAAACACACCAACAATCAAAACATATATAAAACACACAAACATACGTATAAGGTTCATGGACTTGTCCCATGATGGCGAAACCAAATAAACCAACTTTGCCATGGTAACCAGCTGAACTGATGGCAACACATCAGGTCGACCAGGTCCTTCTTGCTGACATCTCCGCCTTGGAGCAATTGGTCTGCGGAACATGTCTTAAACAGCAACGTTTGAAAGATCATTTGATTTGAGCCATTTTGAGCCAACAACTTAAAAAAACACCAACAATACGAAGTATATCCCATAGGATCCATGGTGCTGCTATATATGGTAACATGGATCCCATCAATATACCCCCTTTATGTTAGCATTAATATACCAGCACCATGGATCCGTCATGGGTTTCTGGTTTTCCATGGTTTTGCTCACCAAACAGATACACAACGACGTGTTCACAGCTACAACGACGTGGTGATGTTTCGCAGGTCTTCTCGAGTTGATGCGATGAAAATTTTCTTCCCTTCGGGCCCTTCGGGACATGGGTCGCACCTGGGAGTCAGTCATCACCATCTAACATATGGATAAATTGGTGATCTTATGGTGATTTTAATGGTGATCAAATGGGATGTACCCTCTGGTTATGACTAACATAGCCATGGAAAATGGCCATAGAAATAGTGAGTTTTCCCATTAAAAATATTTAAAAATGGTGGATCTTTCCATGGCTATGTTAGTCATAACCAGATGGTAAATCCACCATTTCCAAGAGATAGCAGTGGCAGCCCGATCCGGAGGGGTTGATCTATGGGACCAGTCAACCAGCATCCTCCAGTCACAGGCACTATCATCCCAGTCGTAGTAGGAGAACTGCCGTCGTAGCTGTTCCTCAAACCATGGAACCAACCAGCCAATGCAGGTGCCTTGAGCCTTACATCTGGGGTTTTCCCAAGGTCCTCTGAATCATGATGCATTTTACATCATTTTACCATCCCGTGTTGCCTAATTTTTGAAATGTACTTTGAGGCCATCAACGAGCATATCAATCAAGCCATCATCTCAAGAATCATCCATCTCCAGCCCAGTGTCCATCTGCTCCATGGTATATCCACCAGAATCGATCAACTGACGCCGTCTTAGCTCGTCGTATTCTTGAACAGACCTGGCGCCGCGTCTGGATCCCCATGTGGCAAGAATCATCAACTGACCATTCATCATGAAAAACATCTGATTGGTGGTATACCTACCCCTCTGAAAAATATGAGTTCGTCAGTTGGGATTATGACATTTCCAATATATGGAAAAAATAAAAGCCATGTTCCACAGCACCAACCAAACATCATTCACCAGCCTTGTGAAGGCTGCGTGGCTTAGGAAGCCTCAGAGAAATTTTGCTCAGCTGGTGTGTCCAAATCCACCATGCCCCGGGGCTGCCCCGCAGCTACGGGAAATCACCACTAAAAACATGGAACGATCACGGGGCTGTTTCCAGATGGTAAACAATTGGCATTGAAGACAGAAACTGGTTCGTGGTATACCTACCCCTCTGAAAAATATTAGTAAGTTGGGATGATTATTCCCAATATATGGGGGAAAAAAACATGTTCCAAACCACCAACCAGGAAAACATGGATTTAGTTCGGCACTTTGGGTTTGATGTGGCTGTGTCAAGAACTGGGAGCGCCTTTCAAAAGGCCCTGGGAAACTGGGGAACCAATTGCCCCTCACGGATGATCATGACCTAGCTTGGGATGGGACCGGCAGTCAAGCCGAATGGGCTTGCCGGAACTAAATTGAGATATCAAATATATCAATAGGAAAAACGTTCATGAAAATTAACTACTCTTGTTCACCCATCGCATGCCACAGCAACAACGCTTCCTGCGGTGCTTCCTTTTTAGACAATAGACATTAGTTCCCTCAACTATGACCGTTACCCTCTGGTAAACGTTTACAAAAAACTATGGAAAATCGCCATTTTAATGGGTCAATCAACCATAAATGGTCATTTTCAATAGTTTTTTCTATGTTGACCAGAGGGTAAGCAGGTGGAATATGGTGGAATCTGCTACGAAAAGCCATGACCAATGGCCATGGGTCTACCGAGGTGGTGCCCCGTAGCCAAGGCCGGTTCACCCGGACCTATGGTAAATATACAGTATATATATATTATCAGTATACTGTAAACCAACTTAATATCAACTATATCAGTATATCAGTATACTATATCTGTATATCTATATAGTTAATGGATCTATAAACTGTAAACCAACTTCTGATGAACTCGGGTGCAAAGTGCTCCCTTTGACGTCCAAGAACCCTCCTGCAGATCTTCCAGAACTTCAGGAGGCAGCACTGAAAGTTCTTCCCTGGAATCGGATCCACATCTTTGGCAGACCCAATTGGGACATTCCCAAAACTAAATTTGGATAAGAAGGATATTAGTCTAACCCCCAACATGGTCTTTCCTAAATATATTCTAAATATGGATGATGATAATCCACCAATTTATATATATATATGTATATCTTTTTGGTAGATGTTCATGGATGATGATAATCCATCAATAGGGTAGTAACCAGTACAGTCTAACCCCCCTATAATTGGGGTCTCTGAAAGTGCCCGTGTGTTTCTCTCAGAAACTTGTGATGTCCCCTGTGAAGCTGAGACGCTAAATATGCAATATGACTCTTGAACGTGATGAGTCCTTGATTTTGCAGGAGATGCGCTATTACCTCGTCCCTCAGGCCAACGAGTCATTTTTTGCCCTTGAAGGTGGCCTTATTAAAGCTTATTCCGCCTGGATCTCTGGCCACTGATGATCTTTGAGAAATCTGGAAGATGTCGCACAAAAAAATCAAACCGTCTCAGGCCTCAGGTTGTCTCCCCATTTTTGTTGGCCAAATGACTTTGGGGTCACGGTCCCACCCCCCGCACCTGAGACATCCCAGGTCCTGAGAGGAATCACATCCCAAAATATCTTGGGCCAATCATCATTCTCCCATTTTAGCAAAAACGGCAGAAAAATGCGATATCTGGATGTATATTATGACATATATATATAGTGTATATATATATAGTGTATATATAGTGTACATATATATATAAAGTATATATATATATAGAGAGAGTGTGCATATATATATATATATAGTGTATGTATATATATATAGTGTATATATATATATATAAAGTAAATATATATATATATATATAGAGAGAGTGTGTGTATATATACATAGTGTATATATATAGTGTATATATAGTGTATATACATATATATATAGGACTATTATCCATATATATATATACAATTATATACAGTGTATATATCAACCCTTCATATCCCAGGTGTAGCCATTCCGCCCACCATGTCCTTGAGGGCTTTCAAGGCTTCTCGCTCGCTCAGAACCCCCGTGTCGGACCTGTGGATTGGAAATACCAGGGCTTTGTTTTAATTGTCCGAAGTGAGGTGTTACCCTCTGGTAATGACCAACATAACTATTGAAAATTGCCATAGAAATAGTTGATTGATTTACCCAGTAAAAAATGTGATTTTCAATAGTTAGGTTAAATTACCAGACGGTATGTCCAAAAACAAAGGCCAATATTAAGACATTGTCCGAATATTTTTTTTTGTTTTAAAAATCATACGTAGTGTTTGGATTCCAAAAAAATATATGTTTTCCGAAGTGCACCCGGGAACCACATGGGGATGGTTTAAACATTGGTTTCTTTCTTCCGCCCGTCGATGAATGTTTATACATTACTCTTGGGATTTGGCAAAGGTATCACCAAAACATCTTGGGGATATTTGGGGATGGGGCCCATGGCTGATCAAAAAGACGCCTTTTTCATAAAACAGTAATTACACTACTGTAATTCCTTCGGGCATGACATATTGCTTCGTGTATGGTTAGAAAGGTTTGCCAAGAAAAATGGAACTTCCTCGGTCTGGCATTTGGGGGGAAAAAGGCTAGGGCATCTTTCGGAAATGTGGATCATTGACTATCGATCCACTTCCCAAAACTTCTCTTCTGTTCAAACATCAAATATGTGTAACCCACACTTCTGAGGGGCATGTTCTTGATTCCTTGTCTGAATAATAGTATACTATTTCACTCACCGGAAACATAGCTGCCCTACATTGACGTCACGACCTGATGTTGGCCCGTTCTGAAACATCCCAGCGTGGGGGGTTATCTTCCTCATTCCTGTACAGGATTGACAACAAACGAAATCACCACCATATTTCGCAGAGTCTTGTTCATATTGCCAATATAGTTGCTGCTTGATTCACTTTAATTCTGCCCAAATTTAATTTTATGATAATTTGTCTTCCCAGTGCCAGTAGGTTGGTTGATGAAACTTCCATGTGGGTTTGTCAAAGAATAGGATGCGAAACAATCTCATGGTCTATCATCATGTGCGCGTTCACACTGTCATTTGGGGGCATCGTCCATTTGCAAACAAACGCATTTGCTGGTTAGACCCCGTAGTTTCCAAGCATGCATATACATATATATATATGTATATATATATGTATATACATATCACATATAGATTAGTAGATAAGATTCACCTAGAATCATGGTTAACATTGGTATAAGACCTATAATTTGGTATAAGAATCATGGTGATTTGAAGCCTTTTCTATTGTTTTGGGGGTTAAATTTGGGGTTAACATCATCCTGTCACTTCGTCCCTTGAGGTTGCACCTGTCATACTTGTTGATGGTTGCCTGGCGAATTTTAGGCAAAAGCGATGGATGGGACAAATATGGACATAAACAGAAGTGATGATGGTGATGATGATTGTGATAGTGATAGTGATAGTGATGATGATTGTGATAGTGATATTGATAGTGATAGCGATAGTGATGATGACGACAATGACGATGACGATGGCTATGTCTATGACAATGAAGCTACTGTTGCTGCTGATAATCTTGTTGATGATGCCGCTGCATCATCATAATGCTGATTGTGAATACTGGATCATGGATGGTGGCAAACCAGAAAGGTTGATTTTGAATGCAGGCAAAACTATCCACAGTCACAGGGCAGTTATGGGGGCAAGAAATGAACTCCAGAACAGCGACCGATCCAATGCTGGAAGGTTGTGATGGCGAGGCTGACCGAGGACTAATCTTCAAGAATTTTAAATTTTGATAACATAAGATATTTACATTAGAAGAGAATAATAGAGACTATAATTATATATATATATATGATGTGAACATCTTATGTTGTCAAAATGCGTTGAAGATGTGATTCTAATTTCTTCAAACCAATGCCAGATTGGTTGGTGGTTTCCAACCTATCCCAACAAATAATTCGTCGTGGATTATCATTGTCATCTCAAATAGGGAGAAAGACATATGGCTGTGACCCTAAAATAGCCGGTGAATGGATGATTATTCGCCCAACTATGGGCTATGCATGGTTATGCATGGTTATCAAAGCCAAATATGGTAGTAACTGGTAGTAGTAGGTCTTGATCCAACCCCCTATCAACAATTTTTCAAACCTCCCACCAGAAGATCAGTACTGATCCGCGCCCAGCTATTTGCTGCCGCCTGCAGGTCTCGCGTTCGTCGCTCGCGGACGAAGCGCACCAACCTGGGATCTTTTTTCGCTTGCCGTGGCATGAGAAGCCATGGCTAGTTTCAGTTGACATCAATAAAAAAAACATCAATTCTTTAAAATCCCACCGGGTCATCCACAATGCTGTGAGCGCGGAAGAGTATGGTTAATGTGGTAAACTCGATGAACCATCCCCAAAGAAATCACAATAAATGGATTGGATTCCAACCATCCTCAAATGGTAGGTGAAAAAAATTGGGTTTCCCACATTATAATGTTCATGGACAATCCACCATTTATAGATGATGTTCCAACTAAAATGCCATGTATCTGGTCAAATTATAATATTTCAGGGTCTTTAGGTCGAATTTCGCTATTTCAAACTGAAATGTGGTGACGTCGCGAAAATCGCGAAAATTTGCTGACGTCGTGAGACTAGGATGAAAGCAGGCACTCTGACAGGCGCTTCTTTTTTTGCTCATCGGTGGCATCTCTAACTGTCCTGCAGCTGCGGGCTGTTGAACGGAGCCTCTTCACCAGTCTCTTCCTGCGAGGCCGGGAAGTCGCAGGAAACTGCCGGCTAGTCAGGGGAATCGAGGCTACTTAGGGGGGGATCAAGCCCAGGAATTTCTAACGACGTCGTTTTTGGCATTTTCAGCCCTGAAAATGCCAAAAACGACGTCGTTAGAACCAAAGGGGGGAATCGAGCCCAGGAATTTCTAACGACGTCGTTTTTGGCATTTTCGGGGCTGAAAATGCCAAAAACGACGTCGTTAGAAATTCCTGGGCTCGATTCCCCCCTGGGTAGCCTCGATTCCCCCCTGGCTTGCCGGCAGGGACTTCCCGGCCTCGCAGGAAAAGACTGGTAAAAGGCCTTTCAACAGCCCGCTGCTGCAGGACAGTTAGTTTGGGATGGAGTCGAACCAGGCAGTCTTAGAATACTACTTATGGGGACTAACGATGATTGTTGTAATTCTTGATTTGAGGTGTTGTAAATACGCAGCCCCTTAATTTCATACGAGTGTGTTGAACAATACTGCGTGCTGGGATATACTAGTCGGATAGTGGGACCAGCGATGGTTGTTGTAATTCTTAACTTGGGGTAGACATGAAAGACCTTATTTCAGCAGGTTAGGTCTAATTTCACGGTGACGTCGGGTGACGTCGCTATAATTTGGGCAGATGTATAGAGGATTTCCATTGCCATGTTTGATTCTTGTTGGACGTGCTGTGTTTTTTTTGGGGACAAGAATGGTTGAAAATCCCCATGTTCCATGGCACATCCATGGCTACCCTGGCAGGAGCTGCAATGCATTTGAAGAGCCCAATTAAAGTTGCCAGTCATCCCTACCATCGGATGATCTTGTGCGAAATTTGGAGCAAATAGTCTGGGCTTCTATCTAATTCCTGATGATCCTTCTATTTTGGAAGTTGGTACCAAAAAAAAGCACGTCCAGTAAATCAGGCTTTCATGAGATTCTTTAGCTTACAGTAATTAATTCCTAGATAAATTAATGTCCCGGCATGGCACCTGAAAATAGCTGCCAACACTTATGCGTGTCGATCAATTTGAGTGTTTATGCCTTTATGCACAATGGCTGGGTCATTGAAGCTGCAAGAGAAGAGTCTCCAAATGGTTTATAGTTTCATCCGTTTACTCTCTGGTAAACATACAAAAAGCTATGGAAAATCACCATCTTTAATAGGTAAATCAACTATAAATGGGCAGAGGGTAAATCCAAATTTCTGCTGATCAAGTCGTGTTCGAATTCCCCATTTCCCAAATGATTTATGGTTGCATCGAGATTTTCCTTCTGCCTATATAAGGGTAGCCGCTAGTGTAGCCATATTTTCCCGCGCTTCGTCCCCAGCCATGTGTTCCATGGCATGTCACGTGGACTCACTCTGCATTGTCTACATGTAAATTGATTGATGTAAGGAAAATGCATGAACATTCACAGGAAACCATGGTGTTTACCACAAATATATATCCCCCTGGGTATTAAAAACAGTGGGTTGAAGCCCATGTTTGTAGGGTACAATTTGCAGTCCCTGGGGCTGGAAACCTACAAAAGTGGTACCCAACCTCACAGCCTTCCCACTACAAAATTGGGATCCAGCCTCATAAGATCTAGGAAATGTTGCTCCTACAAAAATGGAACTCAGGGTCAAAATGGTTAACATGTTGTCATCTTAATCTCAATCCCAGTTTTGCCGACCGTGGATCCCACTTTTATAGAGATGCTCTTGCAAAGTACTGGTTGGCAGTTTTTTCCACCCACCCTTTCGACGCTTCTTCGCCCTCAAGGGGTACTCATGCACAGCTAGGCTATGCTCTTGGGACCAACAGTATCTCTTTCTATCCCATAATACTGGAGGCTCCATTGCTTGCCCACACAGAGAAGTCACAGGGCACATAGTGGGACATCCTTGTGGACACGGCATTTTCTCCAAAATGGATGCTGGTTTGAATTAGGGGGAGGGGTTGGACCCCCCTCTGCGTAGTTGCAAATCACTAGGGACCAACCCTAGTGTCTACAAAAAGCAATCACCTGCAAAAACCTTGGGACTACAAAAAGCTAGTGCCAACTCTAGGCACCATGCCAAGAACCGAACTAAATCAGCTCTACAAGAAGGTTGCTCAACCCACATAGGTCCCACATAGTTAACTTAAAAGCACCATCAATCATCCAGCTGGAGTTTTTAGAGAAAGAAGGCTTTAATGTATAAATCCTTACAAGTTGCGTATTGGCAGCGGGTTCACAATAATTACAGGTTACGCACTAGCAACATGTTCAATGTTACAGGTTAGGTAGTGGCAGCAGGTTCAATTGCAGGTATATTGACAATGGGCTCAAAATAATTACAGGTTACGCACTGGCAGCGTGTTCACCCACTACAAAGTGCTGGCACCAAGTTGATCCTCTACAAAAAAGGCCCATGGATGCTTTCTCCCAATTTTCACCCCTGGGGGAAGCCCTTCCTGAGCCACTGCCCCACATTACAAACCTCAAACCCAAGGATTTCATCTTGCACATCCTTTACTTTCAGTGAATGCCATTTTACAAGGTTTGCAAAAAGAGCGGCGGCGTCGCAGGTTCCTTTTGCAAAAAGTCGGTTAAATCATTTGAAGAAGATTACAAAAACCTTGGCACAAGTGCTTTGTTTTTCTAAAAAACGACCCTACCTGGCGGTTTGTAGCGTAGCCCAACTCCTCCCCTTTCTGTAGGTGTTTTCCTATCCCCGATCAAAAAACTACATGCAAACACTCTATAAAATGACCCCTCTATAAAATGAGTTCCCAGGTCTTCGGCACTCTGACATGGCTGCTCAAGCCTCAGAATGAAGTCGTCTACAAAAAGCTGATTGCATTTTTACATTACCGAAAAACTGCTCCAAAATGACCTCTCTACAAAAAGCTAGTGCATCCAACATGATTTATACATACCACTATTTGTCTACAATGATTGGGGAACCAACCCCATTTTTTCTCTATAAAACAGCTCAAAACGCAGAGGAAATCTAAACGGGGATCAACATGGAGATTGTTGAGCAAGCACAAAATGCCTGCCAAATGCTGGCGCGGTTTCCTCCCTACAAAAATCGATCATGAATTTTCATGACCTCATGAACCCCAAAATAGTTTCCCTACAAAAGTTCACTGGGATTTTAACATGTCCAAAAAAGTCTCAGCAACATGCCCCTACAAAAGTCAATTGATGCTATCTTCTAGTTTGTAAAATGGTCTATCTACAAAAGTTAGGGGTCTGAGGTACATTTTCCTTACAAAATCGAGCTCCCACAGCATTTTGTATAGGCCTCAAGGCAAGCATGTTTGTAGTGGAAATTGGCACGGGGATAAATATATAAGGTTCCTGTGAATTTTCCCTCAACCGTGGGAACTCAGATTGCAGTTCGATGATTCCCCCAACCTAAACCATGATCTAGGCGATCTATGGCAATCTATGGTGACGTTTCTGAGACTTTTCCGGGTAACTTCTTCAGCTCCAAGATGTTCAAGGAAGCCGAGCGGTCGATATCCACCTGAAGTGCAAATTGGGGACATGCGGGACATGACAGGTGCTCGGGCCAGCGACATTGATCAATGGATTGATTTCATGGGTACAAATTGGGATATATATATATATATATACAATGTATATATATATATAGTATCTATCTAATTGTAGTTTAGGAGTATCACCGAAATAGTGGACCAGATGCAACATGATGTAAGCATAGTGCCGTCATCGCTATAACTAACGGAAATGATTGCTTCGAGGGATATCTTAAAGGAATGGAATTGATTGCTTCGAGGGATCTCTTAAAGGACATGCGTTTATGTTACTCAACATGTTTGTGATTTGTATTTTATTGGCATTTTCCCGTAAACCAATTCTGGAACCTGGACAAAAGTAAGATTGGGGATCATCATCCTATTTTACAAATGCTAAGTAAACAACACGAACGAATCGTGAACAAACAATAACAACCATTTATGCAACCAGAAATCTTTGCTACAAATCATTATGGTAACATGTCACAAGTTCCTTGACTTGATATTGGTATATTGAACTGAAGTGAAGTATCATCCAATGTTAGCATATATACCATACATGGATCCTATGGGTCATAATCCATCAATAATCATAGGTAGATATTAGTAATCAGTGATGGATCATCGGGATGATTATGATGATTTCAGACCACAGAGACAAAGATCAACCTTGAACTGGCTTCGAAATTGCCAGACGGGTCATGTTTATAGATAGCCATACCAATATCACCGAATGGATGTGACTATATATATACTGTATATATAATGGACTGTTGAGGATCAACAAATAGTAATTTGACTTGGTTGAACATCCATCTAAGTGTATTCTAGTTGCTTTAGCCCAAGACATTTGAGTTTGTAAAACCCCGAGGACTATATCAAACTTTAAACTCCTATCTTTGACGGTTCAACACTCCAAAACTGATAGTTGACCAAGCAAATAGTTCATGATTACACCCCTATGTTGTGTACGGTTCGATGGTTCCAGACCCAAGCATGTATATAAATTGGATGGTTCAAGACCCAAACATATATGCATTTCATGCTTCAAGACCCCAAACCATGTAAAATCGATGTGATACTTCACTATCATATTGGTTGGGAAACTCCATTCGAAGCTCCAACTGGCTCCCCATTTTTTACAGGGAGCTGAGCTCCCTCCGTTCACCACCGGATAGTTCATGTGAGGTTTATCCCCATCAATCATTAATCATTGTTAGTTATATCCCACTCTATACCTACTATATCATTATATCCCATTATATCACCATCAAATAGTACCATCTGGTAAACAAACATAGCGAACTGGAAGTCATGGACCATAGAAATAGATGATTTACCTATGAAAAATGTGGATTATGTCACCATGATACCCTCTGGTAATTTGACATAGCTATTGAAAATACATTGAACATACCACAATTATAGTTCAGCTACCTATACAAAATGGTGATTTTCCATAGTTATGTCCCTCCAGTAAACTAATATAACTATGGAAAATCACAATTTTGTATATCAAATGGTATAATTGTATATCATAATACTAACATAGCATAACTAGTATAACATTTATATTTATATGTATATCAACTATAAATGATTCATTTTCATTCATTTTCAATAGCTATGTTAAATTACAGGAGGGTATAGTACCATGATATCCCCATCAGTTTCACGGCCTGCGCAACCAGCTGCTTCTGATCCTCCAGAGCCAAGGTGTAGCCCACCAAGCGCAGGAGCCTCGGTACCAAGGCCATTTCAGGAACCGAAAAAAATGGAGGTACCTACCATAAGGCCTAAATTTTATTGGATATAGGCCCCAAAAATATGGCTTCAAAAATGCTACAGCACCTCCATTTTCGGATCCGGGAATTCCCATTGATGTAAGGATATGATGGGGAGAGTTTTTGGGATATGATGGGATTTCAATGGTGCTTTAGCATGCTTTAGCCATCAACAAATGGGGATTTACAGTAATGGGAATTGTCCTCTAGTAGACTGACATAAAATAGGAACAATCGGCATTTTTCAGTCATAGAGTCATAGGTACATAAATCATCATAAATCATGGGGCTAGATTCGTAGATGGGCGATGTTCCATAGCTATGTTGGTTTACCAGAGCGTATGCGACAAAAACTGGGGATATCAAGATATGCCAAAAGATATCTTCTTGGCAAATTTTCCCTTGACTATCCTAGAAGACATGTTAGAGATTAGAGGTATCGATATGTTTTGGATATTTTTCGGTGGATTTAAACCAACAAAAATAGGTACAATAATGTAACCAATAGACTATACGGGCGTATATTTCCAGCATACCTGAAGCAATCTATTCAGAGCGCGCTGGGTCCAATTGTTGGACATTTCCCACAACATCTGGGATTTTGAGTCTTACAGGGGGTCAATCATTTTGAGCACCCGTATGTGCCACAGTCAATACTTGGCCTAATGTCCAATATGGAATGGGCATCCATGGGATATAGATGGGTATAATGGGATATAATGGGCAGTGGAATGGGACTTGATAGGGCTTAATGCATGGACATCCCCCCATATGACACCATATGAGTTTGCACCTAAAAATAGGGATCCCCGAAAGTTACTGGTTAGTCTTCATTATCTCAATTAAATTTTACTTTATTGGGGTATACGGTATACTCCACTTTTAGGAACACCCATGTGTCTATGATTGCAAATCTCACACGGACACGGCTCTTGACACATAAATGCACACACACACATACATATATATATATAGTCAATTTAATGTGCGTGTGGATCTTGACATGTGTTCATACTTTTTCATTTTTTGTTGACATTGAATTTCGTCAAGTTTTTGTTTACTTGAATTATGCAACAAGTTGCACCGAATTTTACTGGGAAATGCCCGGGTTGAAACCAATGGATATGGGGCATTGCGTCTTCCCAAATGTTGATTCAATCCTATGATCTTTGATCATTTTCCTGGGGGAAAAAACCCAGACATTGCTTGGTGCAACAGAAACCCCGGCTGTATCCCAAAAGTCATCACTATTCTCATTCTATCACCATCAAATCCCCAGTATTGCTGGTGATATTATGATATATTTTGATATATTCTGATTAATGTTATATCCCGTGGTGTCACCATTATATCTACAATAATGCTTGGAGTGGATGTTGGTTCTATGCCGCTTTTTCGCATAGAAAATTTGACGCCAGTGAGCTTGGGAATGTCATCTGTCTGCACTTCCCTGATGAGTTCATCATCGCCCTCATCGCCGCTGGCGTACTTCTTGAAGGCCTCAGGTGACAGCATCCAGGCTTCCGGTGCTTTCAGGAGCTGTTCAGTGAGACACATGTTCTGCCAAAATGTGAAAATTGGTGAACAATGATGATTAAATTACAGTAACTAAATGAGGGTTATATAAATGATGGGTATCAAATGATTGACATCCTTTGTTGATGGATTAATGTAGGGGGTCTCTCTCCCATACTCTCTCTCGCTCTCTCCCTATTTACCAATGAGTATAATGGGATGAGCTGTTTTTTGTTTTCTCCCTCCATGGCTCACATATCAAATCTTCTACCCATATGTTTGATGCTCAACTTCTGTCTGGTTGCATCATCCTTGAATCATGGTTAGCATCCCTAAATTTCACATGGAACCCATGGGTTTTTTCCCCACCTGGAAGAGGTGTGATGACGAACTGCCAAATTTTCAGGATATGCTAATTCCCATTCTCAAATAGAAAAGGTGAACAAAAACTCCACTCGAATTTAGTAGGATCTTTTTAATGTGACCAAATTCTATTCCTATTTCTTAGGCGTGGCAAGCGTTAAGAATTCCGTTGGTTTTCTGCGCTTCCCAGTTTGAAAACATTCCCTTGACTTGGATGGTAAGTTATTGTCTCAGCATAGCTCATGTCGATTGAGAAATAGGTTGAACTTCCCATTGTCATGGTTTCATGCCAAATAAAGAGCTCATGTCCATGTTGTCGCTTGCAATTCCTTACTTGTGCTTTTTTTTTAGTGCCATGTCCCTGTGACCTAGGCATGGACACCTAGGAATCATGTAACAATCATCGATTAAATCCGCGGGATGGAAATTATTCGTTGTTCAGTGGGCAAAGTAACTGGACTATCAAAGCATTGATGGAATACCCTCTGGTAAACTAACATAACGATGAAAAATAACAATTTTTGATGGGTATAGTAAATCAACTATAAATGGCAACTTTCAATGGCTATGTTAGTTTACCAAAGGGTAATCATTTTGGTTTTACCACATGAATTCTACATTCAACAACATAACAACATCCTCAAAAGAACACATTGGGACTTTGGTCAAATCCATCCATAAACCGTGGTGAAAACATGTGAAAACCCAATTAATTATACACCAACTTTGCTATAGTAAGTATCCCTGCTATATCCCAGCGTGCCAGCATACCATCATGATATACCATTATACCATATTATACCGTCGTTTTAAAACGGGGGCTTGCTTTGAATTTGGCCTTGGAAAATTCAGGGATCCTCCCATTCCTGACATCTCTCAGGTCTCACCTTGCGCACTCGCATCGTCTCCGCGCGCGTTAGCCCTGGCTGCCAGATAGGTGTTGGAAGATTAGCGAAACCACTCAAAATAGAGGGGATTTCCAGGATCTTTATTATTTGTCCAGAGGGTAAGATTAAGTTTCACATATATATATATATATACATACGGTAACTACATTTAAATATACGAACTGGTATTTCATGCTACCTCCGGGGCCTCGCGGTCTGGCCCGCCCTCCACATATTTGAATGGCGTTACCGTATATATATATATTATATTATACATATTTATATATATATATATATATAAATCTACACAGTATGTCGCGAGTAATCTTATAAAAATGCTATTGATTAATATAAAATGTCTGTTGTGATATTGAGTGACTCAAGTCTAAAACATCGCCCATTCTTAGCAGCGACACACTGGTGAACTATGATAGCCATGGAAGGCATGGCACATGGCTAGTTCGATGATTTACCTATTAAAAAAAATGATTTTCGATAGAAATGATAGTAAGTTATAATTATATGCCAAAGGGTGATGGCGAAAAATAAAATCGATGACGCTAAAATGCTGAATCATTCCCATGGACTAGTGGAAATGTTCGCTAAATGGTCCATGCCATTATTTGGCTTCCACAAAGAATAGGGTCTTGATGGATAGCATCAGTACATGGGGACATGACAAGCTATCAAATTGGGGACTGTGAGCAGGTATGCCATGATCTAGCACCGCATCTGCAAACCACACACGGTTCACTGTTGAAGGTCCATGTTCAATTTGCAAAACCTAAAGAATCAATCTAAAGCAATAGTAAACCATCCCCAAATTTACCATCAACATACGTCCGAAGTTTCCAACCATCTTAAGATATTGCTGGTTTATAGATTTTATAGCATTGCTTAACTAACATTAACATACATTAGCCAACCACTCATCAAGGTCCACCCAACTTACGCCTGCCCTTGCCCTTCAAGAAGCGGTCCACCCAACGCCTTCTCTTTGACGAAAGATCACCAGGAACTTCCACAGACTGCCGAGGCCAATCTGTTCCTCCGCTTCCTTGGCCAAAGTGCTGAGACTTCCAACATCAGTTGCCTTTTTTAGTGGGAAAAATAATCTAGAACTGATGGTTTTCATGGAATTTAATGGGATATGATATATATATATAATTATATATATACATAATGTGTATATGATATATATATATATATATATGTATACGTGTGTAATATATAAATATGTATATTTATATGTGTATAGGCATATATATATATATATGTATCGCTCTCTCATGGGATATATAAAAGTGTCACATAGTTGACATTGTTTTTTCAGGTTTGATAGTGGCATATAGTGGCTTGGCCACGTTATACCCGTTCACCTCCGTATAAAATTATGTTTACCATAGTCGAACAACACTCCGAGAGAAGCAACGAAACTACCGACCTTCATTCCATGTATCAACTGACTGGAGGACGACCATGTTACCACTAAAAATAGGGACATCAAAAGCCACTGAATCGGGACTTTCCCAAGGTTTTTTCCAAACGTTTTTGCACCAATCAAGGCTGCCCAAACAACAAGCATCGATTCCAATCTCTTGTAGCACCTCGTTCACCACTTCCTGCAGCGCGCTGAGATGTCCCAGTAAGTCAACATCAAAGTGAGTAGTACATCATATTAAAATTATACTGCTCAACCAATAACAGAAATCACTTGTTTTCCAATCTAGATGATCTGAAATAATATGATCTGTGATATACACTTACCATATACATATGTTACCATTCCATACCATTCCCCCTTCCCGGGGGTTCCCTTCATCACGGGCTATCCCCAAGGTCCTGATCCGCCACGTAGCCTGTGCTATGGAGGAGATTTAGCATCTCGCAGGGCAGGATGCTTTCTGAGTGCGCCGTGTGGCGTGGGGGCCCGGTGGGGGCCCGGTGGGGGCCCGGATCATCGATGCAAGTCTTCTGACATCTTCCGAACATGTTGACATGACTCATCATGACTCACTGGAAATCATGCGGAGGTTTCCTGAAATAGGGGTACCCCTAAATCATCCATCTTAATAGGATTTTCCAATATAAACCATCCATTTGGGGGTACCCCCATTTATGGAAACCCCCATATGAATCCAGCTGAAACCAATCTCCCGGTTCGTATACGAACCATTCCATGTCAGAACCAGCTCTTAACAATCTCATTGGTTCCTAGTTATTTCCCATGAGCCATTCCATCTTTTTTTGGGGAAAGAACCAACAAAAAAACTTAGATAGGTTTATAATGGTGTATATTGGTTTATATGTCAGGGAACATCTTAACCGTCTTCTTAACCCTGAAACCATGTTGTTTTTTCAACATGTTTTTACCATCATGGGAAAATCATCTGTAAATGGGCCACTTTCCATAGCTATGTTAAATAACCAAAGGGTATATATATATATATATATATACTTGATCAAAATCACCGGGCAACAACCACCACAACCACCATGTTTTCACTTTGCCGTGGCGCCAGAGTCGTCGGCCCCCAAGGCCTGCTGGTGATTTATCTGGCATTTTGGTGTATCAAAATGGAATAGCTATATATATATATGCCAAAGAATGCCATAGATTCCATAGATTCTACACACACATATATATATATGATATCTATAATTATCATATAGCAGTTAAATAATGTTATATAGCCATAGACTTCTGAATGATCATCTAAAGATGATGATGATGATGATGATGATGGTGATGGTGATGGTGATGGTGATGGTGATGATGATCATGATGATTATTGATGATTGATGATGATACACTAAGAATGTGACAGTAATCGAGGTGAAACCTCATAGGAATAGCAATTGTTACTCAAAGAATAACCATAGATTAGCCAGGAAGAACCATTGATATACTAAGAATATTCGAAGAGGGTTCATCATAGAGTCATGAAAAGCAATTCACACAGTGAACATATGAGATATATGACAATGATTAAATGATCAACACAATGACAATGCGGATAATAATGATCACCATAAGAATCGTCATAGACTATAGACTATAGACATAATTCATATTAATCATAATCAACACAGCCATCATACTCAGCATCATGATAAACAACCCCTTTCGTCATGGATCGGTATATATATATATGTATTATACAGTATCACAGAAAGTTAGCATCATTGACGGTAGACATATCCCGGTAGACATGTTTCGAAAATGAGAGTGTGCACGCACACATACAGTAGGTCTCAGTAGGTGTTCGTATTTGCATTCCTGGATAACTATCCCATGATAGCTACTGTAGTCCCTTTACTTTATACCTACCTTGGCTTCTATTTTCCTGGCTCCAACAAACCCACACACGTGGGAGACAATGAGGGTTCATTGATCCACCCACACTCTGAACTTTCTCAATGATCAGCATCCTCGTGGCGGGTTTCATCTAAATAAACCCCAACATCCACTCAATCGAAATGCTAGGGCAGCTAGGATGTGGACAATTCATGCATATTCCCCTGTCATCCATCCATCAAAATAGCTGCAAATGATTAACGATTCAATCAACTTCCCAAGTCTTACCATTCACCTGGCTTGGCGGGGCCCAAATCGCCGGCCATGGCAACCCCAGATTGCTCTCCGAGGCGGCCTGAAGCTTGTTCTTCAGCTCTGCCAGTTCACGGTCTCGGAAGAGGCGCATGCACATCAGGAATTCCTACACACGCGCGGCCAGGGCCTGGGGGATGCCGTTGGGAACAACAAATAAGAACCGTTGTGCTGTTCCAGCGACCTAAGTCTTCCCGTTTTTCCCACCAAAAAGTTGGGAAACCCACCAACACATGGAAAAAAACATGAAAAAACTTCTCTCTCCGAACGAGAACACGGCGTTCCTGCTCCCAACTTACCCAAACGGCTGCCTGGAAATCAACGTAGCCGCTGTCGTCTAGATCCACAATTTCGGCCACCATTTGGCAATCCTCAGCTGAGGATCGTACCTTTTGGGGATGGCTTCAATATGCTTCAATAGGATGGCAATCCTCCCTGCGGTGCCGTTGCTGTGACATTAAAAAAACATCCATTGAACCAATTGAACCCATCCCCGGGTACTGCGCTGGTTTCATCCAGGAGCTGAGATGGTGGTGGGAATTCCCACGTACATCAAGACCTGTTGCAGCTCCTGGTGCGGTTCTGGTGCCAGGGCCTGGAGAATCTCAAGGATTGAATGGAGTTATATAATGGGTGAGAACTTGAAAGAGATATATAGTCACTGTGGTCAGTGTAGCACCCCCCACTTGTGGGTGTGCTTGGGCTTATAATTGGGTATAACATGGTATAACCACGGCGAGAACCTCCACAAGTTGGGATACAGCCCCAGCAACTATGGTGAAATATTCATTTATAACCCCAACCGCACTCCCAAGCAGTCGTAGTTGTGCAAAAATGTTTCAGGCACCTGGAAATGATGGGGGGAAAGATCATCAAACTACCTAGCATCCTGGAAATACGTTTCGGCATCTTTTGGTGGTTACCATATACGCATAGACGGGTGCCTTATAACCGGCCTGGTTTCCAATGAAGATCAATGAGTTGTATGTTTGGCATTCCTTTCCCATCCTTTCTTCAAATAATAACAAATAGCCACATGCCAGACATCAAAGACCCTGGCGGAATAAAAGTGATCTATTCATGTTGTCCCATTTCTTGGAGGAAAAAAACTTCCGCTCCACCCCGGTGGAGAGTGTGAAAAGTACAGGAAGACGAAGTCACCATGACCCCTTGGCACGTCACCATGACTTGGATGATTTGGGGTACCCCCCCTTTTCATGTGAAAATGCCACTGACCAATTCACCAATTCACCCGGGCATGTGGGTGCGGATTTGGGCACTTCTATTAATTCTATTAGAGTTGGATGTTCAAAATATACCAAAGCGAAAGGTCAGTGAGTTAATTGCAAAATGTTGTAACATACATTGCTACTTTATATATATATATGTATATATATATATATAGACCAATATTGCCCATCTATTGAGCAACCCAAAAAATTGCCCCACTGAAGATCCCCAGTTCTTCAAATTCGCGTCCTGCACGTCGATCTCATCCTGGGCACGGTTACCGTGCAAGAATATCAAGGTGGTGGAAGACTACAGAAGACTACTATCCAGTACCCTCTTGGTAAACTAACACAACTATGGAAAATCCCAATATTTAATGGGTAAGTCAACTATAAATGGCCATTTTCGATAGCTATGTTAGTTTACCAGAGGGTAATCAAGATGTAAACTTTACAGGCTTTCAGGGTCCATCTTCACTTACTGAAGGGTGATATTTGTGGCACTAGGACGATAGCTTGCAAGTCATCCATTGCCAACCCTTGAGCGATTATGGGGAGACATGTTAGTATATCCTGCCCTTAAGATATATTCCAGCAATCTGTGCAGATCCAATTTTTTTTTGGGCGGTAGGTTCCACTTACATCCAGTAATTTCAGCAATTCTTGGCTGCCGTGGCTTCTAACAGCCTCCAACTCACTGAAGGTTGGATATCACCTGATCCGAAGCCTGGAAAACGAAGGAATTGGAGCCCAGCTTCGTGACAGAAGGCGTCGAATTTGTTGAAGACCGCTTCGAAATCCTCGGCGTGAGCAGCGCCCAAAAAAAATGGAAAGCCACTAGCCATAAATCAGAGGTTCACCAACTGCACCAAAAAAAAAGGAAAATAAAATTAGCAATCATTTACATGGTTCCACAAACATGGCAGCTACAATAATTATATAATTAATCAGAAGTCTTACACCAGAACATGTTTTCTCTCACCAAGAAACTATTTGGACAGATTTCATCTTCAATTGCCGCGCGAGAAACTAACGTGCATCTAGAAAATCACAAAATTGGACAGTTTTCTGACATGTAATTTTCCGAATAACAACTTCCACTCATCCCCCAATCTTTTTGGGAGACCTAGAAACGCAAAGAACAAAATCACGAACAACATGCACTAATAATTATGGTAAAGCCAATGCTAAACCTACCATGATCATTGGAAACCCATAAAAGTGGTGCTGACCTGGAGGTTTCCTGAAATGGGGATACCCCTAGTTCATCCATTTTAATAAGATTTTCCATTATAAACCATCCATTTTGGGGGTACTCCCTTGGGAATGGTGACTGATGGCTTGGCTCGCCAAGATGCTTGCACCTCCGTCTTCGAGAAGCCTTCCCGCTGCGCCAGCAGCGTCATCACCTGGCAGCGCCGATTTTAGCGCCGATTTTCCTGATTTCTTCCATGCTGCATTGAGAGACAACAAAGCAGCTTAAAGACTGGTCTTGTTGATGTTTTGTTTAGAAAAACTTAGCGAAGTTTTTATGGAATATGATAATAAAATGGGATATGATTTCAAACCTTTCAAACGACATGAAGGATAACATGGACATGGACGTTTGGTATCTTCAGTCGATCCGTAAACGCCATCATCGCCTTGTAAAACTCGTCGAAGCTCAACTGCCCTGAGCGATCCTGCCGCAACATCTGACTCAACGGCCACGTGGATTGACCAACAAACATCGATCAGCCAAACGGCCCATGTATAAACTGGTTCCAGTGACGAGAAAATCTCATGCTTGATTGATTTTGCGGGATCTTTTGCCATATTTCGCAACAGATCTAAGGGTGTGGATTGCCTTCTTGAACTCTGAGATGGAACTTCACATGATTTAACACACATTTAACTTAACACTATCCAACCATCGGACTGGACTCAAAAAATGTGGGGTTTCACTTGCATGAACTGAACATGTCCACATCTTCACTTGAAACCCAAGCTTGGCACCTCGTCAAATTCATCAAAACATTCCTGCAACACGTGCTTCCTCAGGGTGCTGATCCGCTCTGGCTGTGGAATCCAATGAATTCCCCCAAGATTTCGTTTGGGAGATATGTTCTATAGCCTCCAAATTTCATAGCATGGTCCGTGTAGCTAGAAAGAATATCTATAAACATAGGCTGATGTTCGTTGTGTTCGTTATGTTCGTTTAGCGGCGGGTAATCAAGAAAACTAGACGACGGATGGCCCGAGAGCGTAGAGGAGCAGGGTCTTCTCTTGTTAGTATGGAGATGCAATTTTAGAAACGGTATATGAAAGCTGTGTTATAGGCAGTCGAGAAGAGGAGTATCAAGACAAAATAGTGAGAAGTGCAAGACAATAGTTTGCATCGCAAACACTTTTACACACAGACGCTTTTACACTGACGCTTTTACACACAAAGCTTTTACCCACAGAAGCTTTTACACACAGAAGCTTTTACATACAGAGGCTTTTACACACAGAAGCTTTTACATACAAACACTTTTACACACAGACGCTTTTACACACAAACGCTTTTACACACAGACGCTTTTACACACAGACCCTTTTACACACAGACGCCTTTACACACAGACACTTTTACACACAGACGCTTTTTACACACAGACCCTTTTACACACAGGAGCTGCTTTTACACACAAACGCTTGTACACACAGAAGCTTTTACACATAGACGCTTTTACACACAGGCACTTGTACACACAAACACTTTTACACACAAACACTTTTACACACAGACGCTTTTACACACAGACTCCTTTACACACAGAGTCCTTTACACACAGACGCTTTTACACACAGAAGCTTTTTACACACAACACTTTCACACACAGAGGCTTTTACACACAGAAGCTTTTACACACAGGCGCTTTTACACACAGACGCTTTTACACACAGACGCTTTTACACACAGAAGCTTTTACACACAGACGCTTTTACACACAGACGCTTTTACACACAGACGAAAGGGTTGCTCCGGCACAGGAAAAATCGCAATTTTACCTCAGTTTTTGCCGATCGACCCTCATTTCGTGCGAAAGGGTTGCTCCGGGGCAAGTCAAATCGCAATTTTACCTCAGTTTTTGCCGATCGAACCTCGTTTCGTGCGAAAGGGTTGCTCCGGCACAAGTAAAATCGCAATTTTACCTCAGTTTTTGCCGATCGACCCTCATTTCGTGCGAAAGGGTTGCCGTAGCACAAGTAAAATCGCACTTTTACCTCAGTTTTTGCCGATCGACCCTCATTTCGTGCGAAAGGGTTGCTCCGGCACAAGTAAAATCGCACTTTTACCTCAGTTTTTGCCGATCAACCCTCATTTCGTGCGAAACGGTTGCTCCGGGACAAGTCAAATCGTAATTTTTCCTCAGTTTTTGCCGATCGACCCTCATTTCGTGCGAAAGGGTTGCTCCAGGACAAGTAAAATCGCAATTTTCCCTCAGTTTTTGCCGATCGACCCTCATTTCGTGCGAAAGGGTTGACGTTTCGTGACTCGCCGCCGGCACCACCCTCGGCCTTAAGAGAGAAAGATAAAAAGAAGGCATGAGAGAGAAGGTGAGCAGGTGTGAAGATAAGAAGATGTGAAGATGAGCAGATGTGAACATGAGCAGATGTGAAGATGAGCAGATGTGAAGATGAGCAGATGTGAGAGAAGATGTGAGAGAAGAGGTGAGGATGAGCAGATGTGAGCAGATGTGAAGATGAGCAGATGTGAAGATGAGCAGATGTGAAGATGAGCAGATGTGAAGATGAGAAGGTGTGAAGATGAGCAGATGTGAAGATGAGCAGATGTGAAGATGAGCAGATGTGAAGATGAGCAGATGTGAAGATGGGAAGGTGTGAAGATGAGCAGATGTGAAGATGAGCAGATGTGAAGATGAGAAGATGTGAAGATGGGAAGGTGTGAAGATGCAGATGTGAAGATGGGAAGGTGTGAAGATGAGCAGATGTGAAGATGAGAGGATGTGAAGATGAGAGGATTTGAAGATGAGCAGATGTGAAGATGAGAGGATGTGAAGATGAGAGGATGTAAAGATGAAAAGATGTGAAGATGAGAGGATGTGAAGATGAGAGGATGTAAAGATGAAAAGATGTGAAGATGAGAGGATGTGAAGATGAGATGTGAAGATGAGAGGATGTGAAGATGAGATGTGAAGATGAGAAGATGTTTTACAGACCCCCACTATTGGAAGAACCCTGCGCTCAGACGCTCTCGGGAAAAAGTAACTAGTTGTTTTTAGTGCCCAACTTCACGATCTGGATCCCGTCGCACAAGCCACCATAGTTCAAATATCTTCAAATAGTTCTAGAGGTTCTAGAGTGATTCTCTCAAACGTTGATCATCAACGTTGATCAACCCAATTGTCCCATCCCATGGATTCTCATGAAATCAGCCCATGCTATAGAGTAACATTCAATATATAGATGTAGAATGTAAGTCGAACAAACTCTTGCACCATCCCCATTTCGGAAATGGAATTCGAATATTAAGAGTTTAACTGATTATATACCAATACTTAGTCACTGGCTGATAGTTTCAGACATGATTTGAATGATTTGAGCAACACAGAAGGGGCAAAGCACCGCTGTTCGAATCTTCCATGATGACTCAGGTATTTCCAAAATCCTTGTGAGATAAATATCTCCTTTTTGTTCGAATTTGGTAAATCAATATCCCCAAAACATGGTCAAATTGAGTAGATTGGCAATTTTTTTGGGCCTTCCTCCGTTCAGTTGCCAGTAATGTTGAATCCGTTCAAATTCAACATATTCCAATCCATTGAAATCCCATCCGTCAAAACCTTCGACAAACATCACTTTCCATAATTTTCCCATTCAACATCCGGGCCCATACCAGACCCCAAAACAATACGAGTTGTAGCTGGTGCCTTCGATCTGAAAAGATGCTGGTGCATTGAGACCATCCAAAATCATGGGCATCACATTACACCATTCTGGGAGGGTCTAGACAGATGGAGTTCAAATTCTTCCATGTTTGTTGAGAAAAAACGGCGCCGACTTAAAAGTTGGTTTCTGCAAAATATTTTATATTATATAAATCGGTTACACCCAAATAATCACAGATATACCGATACACCCTCTCTCTGGTTATTGAACAGTTCCCTAATTGAGTGGACAATGGCCCGTAGATATATATATATATATATACATACCAGTAGTACCGCACAAGGCGGTGGCGGAAGTTTCAAAAATAGGAAACCTATAGGAGAAGTTGGTTGTTGTGAATCAGGGATGGCAGAGCGAATCCACTGATTGACCGAAAGGTGGTTGGAGTTGTGTTTGCTGGAATGGTTGCAATGGTTGCAGTGGTCACCTCACCCACAACTGCTGGATGTAGTGTGATTTACTGCAACTGTAGTTGTAGTTGTAGCGTAGTGGAGTTGTAGTTGTGGTGTAATATAATTAGTGTAGTGTAGTTGCAGTCATATGGTTGTAGCTGTAGTTGTTTTGTAGTTGTAGTTGTAGTTGTTGTAGTTGTAGTTGTTGTGTGGTTGTAGTTGTTGTGTAGTGTAGTTGTAGTTGTAGTTGTAGTTGTAGTTGTAGTTGTAGTAGTAGTAGTAGTCGTCGTAGTAGTAGTAGTAGTTGTTGTTGTTGTAGTTGTAGTTGTAGTTGTAGGTGTTGCTGTTGCTGTAGTTGTAGTTGTTGTTGTTGTTGTTGTTGTTGTTGTTGTAGCTGTAGTTGTTGTAGTTGTAGTTCTAGTTGTAGTTGTTGTGTAGTTGTAGTTGTAGTTGTAGTTGTAGTTGTAGTTGTTGTTGTTGCTGTTGTTGTTGTTGTTGTTGCTGTTGTTGTTGTTGTAGTAGTTGTTGTAGTTGTAGTTCTAGTTGTAGTTGTTGTGTAGCTGTTGTAGTTGTAGTTGTTGTAGTTGTAGTTGTTGTGGTTGGTGTTGTTGTTGTTGTTGTGGTTGTTGTTGTTGTTGCTGTTGCTGTTGTCGTCGAAGTTAGGATAGTTAAGTTAGTGAAGTTAGTTAAGTTAGTCAAGTTAGTTAAGTTAATCAGCGTCTACTTTTCGACATCTTCACGTCAAAAAAGGCTCAAAACCCTCAGTTTTTTACACTTTTGACTTCGAAATGTGCTTCGCGCCACAACGGCGTGCACTTTTTCATGTCTCATCTGGCCAGCTGGCTCCGCACCCGCCGCTTTAGCGAGCCTACTTTTCGACCCTCCGGAGCCACAAATCATTGGAAAAACACAGTGAATCGCGACTTTTCTATCTTTTCGCGCATCTACCTCTTCTTTCTTCTGATCTTGTCTCTTCTGACTCTTCTCACCTCTGCTTTTCAACTGTCCATATTGTCGGAAGTTTCACTTCTAAACTTCCTTCGATTATATATTTCATGATAATTTACCGTTATTATTACATAAACATTGCATTCAGTAATCAGAGGGTATCCGACCGGCGAGAGGCATGGGCTCGATGCCGATGGTACGAAGGAAGTCGCCGAACTCCGCAATGTCCATCCTTGACATGGCGTCAAAACGGGGATTTCATCAGGGAATTAGGACTGGTACATAGATTAAGCCAAGAAAAATGAGGGAACCATGGCAAATTCGTTGGGTTCAGCACATGATTAATTAGGAACCATGCTTAATTTTTTGGGTCAATTGGTGTCCAATATTGAGCCCATGTCGAAAAAAATAGGATACCCGTAAGGAAGGTGAACTCAACAAATCATGTAGATCTAACATATGTTGTTTATCTATCATTATCTATCATTATCATTATCTATCATTATCTATCTATATATCATTATTATTATCTATCATGAATCTAGTTTATCTATCATTTTCTACAGAGACGATCTGCAGCGCCGCCGGTTCCGGAAGGTCATCCCAGTCATCCCACCACAAACAAAAACCAGATTGCCATCCCAAAACCTTCTGGAATCCAAAAAATGGTGATCTGAGAAACCCAAACATTAATCACTTGGGATTATTCCCAATATATGGAAAAATAAAACATGTTGCAAACCACCAACCAGATTTTTTTAAACCCGGGGTGACCGTTTCTCCCATTTGTTGCGTAAGGAAAAAATTATCAACTTGTTCTTGACTCGGTAAACCCGTAAACCCAGCGAAGAAGAAACACTGCAGAAAACTTATCGCTCTCTCCCTCTCTATCGCCTTGAGACAAAAAAAATGACCATGAATTTGGTTTGCATAAACCTCATGAGGTCAGACTGCACCAGAAAACTGCCAACTACGCGTTTATTGTTGTGCAAAGAGGTGAACGAATTAAGCACGTTTGAAACCACCAACCAGGTAGGCACGCAATCTGGCCCAAAAAAACATGTTCCAAAAAATGCAGCCTCGAAAACTTGGAAGCATATACCACATTGGTGTTTTATCCAAAATAATGAGAGGATCCTAACCATCCGCCGAAAAAAACTGCCTCACCAAGCAGAGAAAAACACCACATTTTGCAGTTTCACATCACGAGTCGCAGGAAAAAACACGGGTGGCATTTGGGGGCGCAAGGTTGTGATGCAACTGTTTTCTTCCTCCGGTGAGGAATGTTCTTACAACCCTTATTATGATCATATCTTCAGTTGCATCATGTCATCCAACATGATCAACGCTTCAAACTGGGGATGGTCAAAACATACAAGTCTATGATCATATATAATTATCATCTCAATATCAACGGGGCCATTGGTGCCTCGACCTCCTTGACCCCCCTGGGTCTTAAACAACTCCATCGGCCCTCAGGGCCGCGGGCAACAAGACAGCAGTCGCAACAGAGCTGCAGTGGGGGCCGTGGGGCTAGCAGGAAGTATGGTGGCTAATCTGGCGGTCAAAACCTTGGTACCCGAACACCAACTAGCACCAATAGTTATAGCTAGTAGATGTTGGTAGATTCGCATGTTTATCACTTCATCAACCCTGCCAATATGGAAAACATTCTCGAAGGAAGTTTGGAAGTCAAACTTCCGACTTATGGACAGATGCAGCAACAGTGGTGAGAAGAGTCAAAGAAGTAGAGAGCCAAAAGAAAGAAGATCAAAATGTGCGAAAAGGAAAAAAACGTCGC